ACAGAGACAGGGATAAAGATACACACACACACATATAGAGAGAGGGACAAAGACAGAGAGACAGAAACAGACAGAGACAGAGAGACAGAAAGACAGAGAGACAAAGAGAGATAGACACAGACACACAAAGGCAGGACAGAGACAGAGACAGAAAGACACAGACACACATAGACACACACAGAGACAGAGACAAAGACTTTATATATATGTGCGTGTGTGTATATATATGCATGTATGAAAGAGAGAGAGAGAGAGAGAGAGAGAGAGAGAGAGAGAGAGAGAGAGAGAGAGAGAGAGAGAGAGAGAGAGAGAGAGAGAGAGATAACAGAAGGGAGAAAAGAGAGCCTTGGGAAGAGCCTTGTGGAATATGCACAGTTAGGGGGCATGATGTGTTTGATGACCCATAAAAATGACTGAAGAAGTGAGTTGGACAGTTGGTACTTTGGAAGAGGCCACGAGGATCCAGACCAAGCCTCCAAATATAAATTCAGGTAAATAAACCAGGAGAGAAAGCAGTGTCATAAAAATCCAGAAGGAGACAGTGGCCAAAATACAGCAGATAGATTGAGAAAGATGAGAACTGAGAATAGACCATCAGATTTAGCAATTAAGAGAATGGTGGTATTTTTGGAGAGAACAATTTCAGTTGAGTGTGAGCTTGGAAGCCAGACTGCAAAGGGCTGAGGAGTGAGTGAGAGGAGAGAAAGTGGAGGCAGTTAGTGTAGATAACCTTTTTCTTCTCTTTTCTTTTTTTCCAAAATGTTTTTCTTTTCTTTTTTTCTCAATTATATCTAAAAACAATTAATATTGATTTAAAAAAAATTTAGTTCCAAATTTCCTCCCTCTCCTCTCCCTCCTTGAGAAGGCAAGCACTTTGATATAGATTATACATATGAAGTAATGTAAAACATATTTCCATATTACCCATGTTGTAAAAGAGAACACAGATAACAAAAATGGAAAAAAAAAAAAAGAAAAAGAGTTTTTAAAAAGTCTGCTCTGATCTGCATTGAGACTCCATCAGTTCTGTCTCTGGAGGTGGGTAGCATGTTTCATCATGGGACCTTCAGAATCATTTTGGCTCATTGTATTTCTGAGAATGGCTAAGTCATTCACAGTCAATCATTGCACAATGTTGCCATTACTGTGTACAATGTTCTCCTGGTTCTGCTCATTTCACTTTGTGTCAGTTCGTATAATAGACAACTTTTTTCAAGAGTTTGGCTGAAAAAGGGAAGACAGATATAGTTTAGTTTATAGTTTAAGGGGACAGTGAAGGGTTTGGGTTTTTTTTTAAAGTATAGAGGAGATGTGGATAAGTTTGAAGGCAATAGGGAAGGAACCAGTTGACAGATAGTGAAAATTTGAGGGAGAAGGAGAATGACAGGATATAATATGCTGGAGAAGACAGAACAGGATGGGCTCAAGTGCACATGTGCACTTGCAGCTAGGCATCTCAGTGGATAGAATGCTGGGCCTGGAGTGAGGGAGACCTGAGTTCAAATCTAGCCTCAGAAACATCCTAGCTATGTGACCTTGGGTGAGCCATTAAACCTCAGTTTCCTCAAGTATAAAATGGGGATAATAACAGCACCCACCTTCCAGGGTTGTTGTGAGGATCAAATGAGATAATATTTATAAAATGCTCAGCACAGTGACTAGCACATAGAGGAGACATACTGAAGGCAGTCCGTAGTAGGTGATATATAAATGCTAGATATTATTATTATTACATGTAGAAGGGCTTGCCTTCGAAAGGAGAAAGGCCACCTATTTGTCAGAGACTGAGGGAAAGGAGGACAGAAAGTCAAGGGCTTTTAAGATGACAGTAGGAGAACAGGGAACTCATGCTTGAATAACTTCAATTTTTTCAGCCAGGTAAGAGGCGTTGTCCTCAGCTGAGAGAGAGGAGGAGGAGAAGATGTGTGAGATCCAAGGAGAGAAGAAAACATTTAGAATTGGTTCTGTGGGGAGTGAGATAGGGAATCAATTAAAGAGGAGTAAGAGGACTACCTTGCTGCAGCAAAGGCCCCTCTGAGGTTTGATTACAGGAATTTGTAAAGTACCCAGACAGTATTGTTGGGAGATTTCCTCCAGCTTTGTTCAGTGGCTAAATTGGAAAGCTGGAGCAAAGGAGGTAGATGGAGGCAGAGCAATCCAAGGCTGAGGTCTGAAAAGCAAAGAGCAGAGACAAGGCAAGGGGGAAGAGGTTGAAGAGCAGAGGACAGCGTAGAGGTGAAATGGTTAGCTTTTGGATTGACGTTGGAGAGGAATAGTGAGGTGAAAGCTGGGATACTGGCTGAGGAAGACTTATCATGGAGGGAGGCTCTTGAGAAGAGCTAAGAAGAGTGGATCATTAGGAGTAGCGCAATGAAAACAGCAATGGTCAGATAGAGGAATGGCAGAATTTCTAAGGAGGGAAGTAGAACATTTGTGAGTAAGGACCCAATCTAATATGAAATCTATTTCTGTATGGCTGGAACAAAGAGAAGAAAAGAGAATCTTGGAAAAGAACAGAAGGAAGGCCAGAAAGAGACACAGACAAGTAGGACAGCTTTGAAAGTGACATGTGGAATTGATCATACTGAAATGGAAAAGTGAGCTATACATAAGATTCAACTTCATGTAGAATCCTCTTTTTTGTTCTACCATGTCTTTGAAAATGTCTGTTTTATTTACTTCAAACAGAAAATGTCTGCTTAAATTCATAATTTTAAAATTAGAAAAATGTGAAAGAGCTCACTAGTGGGGGTACCCTGTTAACCTCTCTGAGCAACACTTTGGGATGGCTTTCATTGCCTGTTTCTCTAACTGATCCTTGTGTATGGCATGGTCTCAAAATCCTTGATTACCTTGGGTAGCCTCCTCTGGTGGTTCACCAACTTATCAATGTCTTCTCTAAAATGTGGCACTCTGACCTGCACACAAGGCTTCAGATCCCTAGAGTGGAGTATGGTGGGACCCCATCCTCCCTAACCTTGGACATTGGACCTAGCTTAATGCAGTCTAAGATGGCGCTGGCTTTCCTCTCTTCCATAGCCCATTTTGACTCCTCTTTAACTTGCTGGTGCAATTCTTATTAAGCCTTAATCACTGAATGGGTGTTGCCTCAGTCAAACTGAGACCTGTTAAAGACCTTAACTTGAAAAGGCCGAGGTTCCCGTTACATCTGGGGCCATCTCCAGTTGTCCTGATCTATATCTGGCCACTGGACCCAGATGGTTTTGGAGGAGAGAGTGAGGCTGGTGACTGCACAGCCCTCCCTCACTTAAATCCAATTCACTTGCAAGTCATGGCATCACCTCCCAGATGTCATGGTCCTCTTCGAGAATGAGGTACAAACAACAGCTGTCCACTCAAACCTCTGTTTCTCCACAGATGAACTGCTCTTTAGCCACACCTTCCTTCTCTTGTATATATCAGGCGGCTTTTTGAACCCCCAGGGAAGGCTTTACATTTCTCCTTCTTAGACTTTATATGGTTAGATTCAGCCCAGTGTTCTAGCTTGTCCAATTCTTTTTGGATCTCAGCTCTCCCACCCAATATGTTAGCTATGGCTCTCAGCTTTATGTCATCTGCAAATCTGATAAGCGTGCCATCTGTGCCTTTATCCAAGTCATTGATAAAAATTTTGGACCACCCTAGAGTCAGTGGCAAACACTGATGCCTGAATCACTTCACTGGAGATCTCCTTCTAAGCTCACCTCAAACAATTATGAGCAATTCTTTGGGGCTGGCCCTTTAACTGGTTCCCAATCCACTTAATGGTATAATCAGCTAGCCCACACCTCTATAGTCCTCCCCAGGAAGAATATGAAAAGCTTTGCCAAATGTGTTGCTAAAATGTATGGTGTTTTCCTGATCTCTCAGCCTGGTAATCCTGTTAAAGAAGACTGAGGTCAGCCTGGCCTGACCTGTTCTTGATAAAGCCATGCTGGCTCTGATCACTGACTGCTTTTCTCAACATTAACATCTCTTTTAAAATGTTAGAGAATAATATGTTGTAGAATTTTGCCAGGAATTGAATGAAAGCTCCTCAGCCAATAGTTTACAGACTATCTGCTCTTCCCCTTTAAAAAAAAAAAACCAAAACCCAACAACAACATTGATCTTCTCTAGTCCCATGGCATCTCTCCTATTCTTTATGGTCTTTCAAAGAGCATGTGGGGTGTGTTTTTGCAAGACCGACAGATTCTTTCGCCCCAGATGGCAGAAGCAAGAGCAATGGTAGATGCTAAAAAGGCAGATTACAGAGCCTTGAGGTTCAGGTTAGGGTTACATCCAGAAGGCCCTTGGAGGTCCTACCAATTCTGTGATTCTGACTGCCATCAGTCACTCATCCATCCATCTAGCCTTACACTAATTTATCCATGAATCTCTCTTGTAGTCCATCTCTCTACTAATCTTTCCATCCATCCATCTACCCATCCATCCATCCATCCATCCATCCATCCATCCATCCATCCATCCATCCATCCATCTATTTTTTCAACTAGCTAGTGAGGGAAAATTCCTGATTGAAGACAGGGGAAGTAAAGTTGGGAGTTGTCTGGAATGGGGGTGGGGCAGAGAGTAACTGGCCTGAGGGGGGTGGGTGGGAAGGGCAATTTCCTTTCTCTCCAGAGCTAAGCCACAGGAAATTCAATCCTGGTCTTTCCTAAGGTGCTTCCTGCCGATAAGGCAGTGCAACCTTCCTCCATCCTGACCCCTCCCCTATCCCTCACCCCCTCATGTCTTCTCCTCTGGTCACATATCCTGCTTTCCCTCCCCCTCCCCAGAACTGTCCACCCCCTTTCCAGTCTAGCCCAGCCCAATAGTCACTGGCCTTGAAAGGCACTGGTCATCCCAAAGCAGGAGATGTGGTGGTGGGGGGAGTCTTCCTGCCCCTGGGGAAGAAAGATTCCAGGCTCCTGGGCAGCCCAAAGGACAGACACAGCTTCCTTCATACACCAGACTTTAAGGAGGAGGCAGGAGTCACAGAGAACAGAAGGGTCAGTGGGGACCCAGACTACCCAGAGGCATGCGTGTAGAGGATGGGAGAAGAGGGGGAGTAGGAATGACCTGGGGAGAGGCCGTGGCTCTGTGGGAGAGGGGGCAGGGAGATAAAGGCCTGATCTTTCTAGGTAGTGGGGGCTTTCTTTGGGTAATGAGGGGCTGATCTTTGTGGGGGTGGCTTCAGGGGCTATTCTCTTTGAGGGAGTATCAGGCGCTGTCGAGAAGGTCAGAATGACCTTTTGCAAGAGTCAAAGGCCTTTGGCTGTACCCCCGTGGAGGGGTGGGGATCAGCCTGATTTCTCTTGGGGAGGAAGAAGCTCTGTTCTCTCAGGAGGTTAGGGGCTGATGGGGTTGGGGAGGGTCTGATCTCTCGGGATGGTGAGGAGCTGATTTCTGGAAGAAGGGTGGGGGTAGACAGGGCATTTTCTCTCTGTAACTAAAGGCCGGAGGGGGCTGGAAAGGATTAAAGCTTATTTCTTTTGGGGTGGGGTAGGGGCTGACAGGAGGGCAATAGATGTCCTCTTTGGAAGCCAGGGGTTGATCTCTGTGGAGGGTGTTAAGGTGTATATTCTCTGACGGGTCAGATCCTTTTCTGGGGCAGGATGGGAGAGGTGGCTCAAGAGCTGTGCTCTATGTGGAGGAGTCAAAGCATGGTTTCTCTGTCATGAGAAGGCACTGTTTTATCTCTGGAGAAGGAGGAATTTCTTTGGGTAATAACAGTGGCTATTCTCCGGTGTGAAGTGGTCAGGAGCTGATGGGGTGTGGAAGTAGGCGAATTAGGGGCTGTTCTGCCTAGCAGGCAACGGGCTTGATCTTCGGGACCAGTGATTCAGTGACTGTTCTCGTGCGGGGATCAGTGGGTGGTTAGGGATTTCCTCAGGAGGGGCCAAGGGCTGATGGAGAGGGGGTAGATAGAAACTATTCTAGGGGGAATCGGGTATCACTCCCTGGGAGGGGTGCTGAAGCTGATAGGATCACCCTCCGGTGATAGGGAGGAGGGATGTGGTCTCTTTTATCTGGGGCAGAAAGGATTGTGGGGGGAAGGGGACGGCAGGAATGGGGAGGAACCGTCTAGGAATCGTGATCTATGGCCACTCTGCAGGGTCCGAGGCTGTTTCCTCAGAAGGAGAAAGGGACAGCTCAGGTTCTGGGTTGTTCTGGGGTGGATCAGGGGCTGTTCTCTAGGGCGGGGGCGGGGGTGGGGCGTCTGAGAGAGTTTCTAGTCTTCGCTCCTGGTCTCCCGCCCCCCTTCCACCCACTCGTCCCTCCCCCCGCGTTGCTATGACAACGTGTAAAACTAAAAATCACTCCCGGGTGGCAGGAGGCTCTGAGCGCCCCCTCCTCTCCGCTCCCCCCTCCCCACGCAGCAACGCCCCCACCCAGTCGTTACTATGGTGACGGGGGGGCAGGTGTCAGTCCTGAATGGGGTGGTAGAGAGGGAAGGGAGTGGGGGGGGCAAAGAACAAACTCCCTGAACTAGGCTTCCTCCTGGAGAAGGGGGGGGAGAAGGCACATAAGGAGTTAAACCTCTGGGAAAACTTCACCCTTTTTGGATGGAAACCGGCCCCCCCTTTAACCCTTGCCTGGCGTTGGGGATCGAGAGGCCCCAAGCAGGCGGGGAGGGGCCGCTATTTCCCCCCTCCCCGGGCTTTCCAAGAGGAATGGGGGGAGGGGGGAACCTGCCGCCCCTCCCCAATTAACTCCTGTTTTTTTCTCTCCCCCCCTCCTATTGTCTCCCCCTTTTCCCTGTATCTTCACAGGCCTCTCTGCCCGGAGACCCCACGACCCCCAACCCTGCCCTTACCCACTGCAGGCCCTAGGCGCGCCAGGGCAACTGAGGCGAAGAGCCGCCGCCCCCTCCCGGATCTGTCCACCAGACCCTCAGATCCTAAGCCCCCGACCCCCTCTCCTTCTCCTGTGCCCCCAGAACTCAGTCCCCTCAGGCCTCCTAAATCCTTTCAGGCCCTCCGAGTCCCTCTCTGGACCCCATCTCCCCCTCCGACTCTCCTCTATTCTCTCAGAGCCCCCAACTTGGGGTCCACCATACGCCCCCACTCCCTCTTCCCAGTGGCGTTCTCATAGGTCCCTAGTTCCCCCAGTCCGTCTCCCCCTCCCCTGGGACCCCCCAGGTCCCCTCCAGGACCTAGGTTCCAGCCCCCTTCCCCCCGGGCCCCAGCTCACCGCCCCCGCCCCCCGGGAACGAAGGCACTGGAGCCGGAGCCGGAGCCCGAGCCGGAGCCGGAGCCCGGGCCCATGCCGCTGAGTCGCTCGGCCAACGCCGCCCCCGCCTCCCCCTCCCCTCCCCCTCCCCGCCGAGCCCCTGGCGCTGCCCGTCCCGGCCTCGGGCCCCGGCCCGGCCTTCCCCTCCCCATCTCCTTCCCCCTCCCCCTCTCCGGGCCCCGGCCCGGCCCCCTCCCCCCTCCCTCGCAGCGCGGCCCCGGCGGCGGCGGCGGCGGCGGCTGCTGCTGCGGGGGGGCCTGGGGGGGCGGGGCGGAGCGGGGAGTCCCCGCACGACTCGCTCCGGGCCCCGGGAGCGGCCAGCCCCGGCCCGGGCCCCGGCCCCGGCCCAGGCTCCGGCCCCGGCCCCGGTATGGATGGCCCCGGGGCTAACGCTGTGGTCGTCCGCATTGGCATCCCGGACCTGCAGCAGACGGTGAGTGAGCCTGGCCCACCCGCCTGCCCTGACACGGAGCACCCCCCCCATCCACCACCCCTCCATATTGCTGCGCTGGCCCCCCCAGACCTCTTTCCTTTCCAGCCCTGTACATCCCCTCCTCCCAGCAACCGACCCCCTTTTCCTCTCAGCCTCGGTTGTTTCTCACCCACCCCTCCGCCCCAGCTCCGAAACCTCCTCCCAGCCGCAGGATCTCCACCCCCCAATCCCTGGACCTCCTCTCAGCCCCGGGACACCCTCCCTCTAGCCCCCGGACCTCCTCTCATCCCTGAGACCGCCTTTCCCTAGCGCCGGGACTCTCCCCCTCCTACCTTAGGACCCCTTCTCCTCAGTCCCTTGACCTTCTCCCAGCCCTGGGCCCATCCCTCATACTCCTGTTCCTGGAATCACTGTATCTCCTCCCTTTCCTCCCCTACCTCTCGCAGCCCTGGGACTCTCTTCCCCGCTCCCTCCCCCAATTCATGCCCAGTAATGCTGAGACCACTGGCCCTTATTTCCAGACCTCCTGCTGTTTACTAGACCACCCTAGCTCTTCCTTTCCCCCTTAAGTATCCCCCAGTATTCCTGACCAGACTCCCTCCCAGCCCTGGGGTCCTTCACATCAGGACCAATTGTGTAGCCCGGGCACCCTCTGGAGCCCTTGCCTCCTCCCACTGGACTCCTGGCCAAGTTCGCCCCTGAAACCTCCACCTGGAACCCTCTTCTCACTGAGTCTTCCTTTTTGCCTTGGAACACTCCCCCAAACCCCCATCCCCTTCGAAGGCCGGGATTCCTCGCCCTGCCCCCATTCTGGATCTTCTCCCCCAGTCCCAGGCGGGGTGGTCCTAAGCCCCGCCCCTCAGGGGGCCCTCCCCCAGGCCAGTTCATCGGTGGCCAGCAGAGGGCGTGACTAGAATGGGCGCTCTAGACCCCCAAGGAGCTGCGAGGGGTAAGGGGCACGCTCGGGCTGTTCTGAGTCACCCCTTCCCTCCCATCCCCAGAAATGTCTGCGGCTGAACCCCGACGCACCCGTGTGGGTGTCCAAGCAGCGGGTGCTGTGCGCCCTCAACCACAGTCTGCAGGATGTACTCAACTATGGCCTCTTCCAGCCCCCCTCCCAGGGCCGGGCAGGCAAGTTCCTGGACGAAGAGCGTCTGCTGCGGGACTACCCGCCCAACATGGACACGCCCCTGCCCTATCTGGAGGTGGGGCTCCAGGAGGGGGCGGGACTAGTGGGTGGAGCCAATGATCCTGGGCCTGAGAGATTGACAAGTGTTCGAGACTGGGGGGGCGGGGTGAGGTATACAGTACTGAGATGGATGGTGTGTGTGTGTGTGTGTGTGTGTGTGTACTGTGGGGTATATGTGTGTGTGTGCACAGAGAGAGATATGTAAATACCATAGGGGTATGTTTGTGTGTGAATGTGTGTGTGCACACAGAGAGATGTATGTAGGTACTCTGGGATGCATGTTTGGCAAAAGGGTATGTGTGTGAGTGAGGGACACAGGGAGGGGTGGGAATCTGCTTCCTAGGAGGGCTGCCTGGGTGCCCAGGGAAGGTCCTGGCAGGGAACATAGCCATCTCCTGTAATCCCTGAAGGCTGAAGGGTGGGGATGAGCATGGGGAGGTCATGGGCAGGTCAGTGACTGCCCTCTATCTTTCTTCCCCCTTCCCGGGGCAGTTCCGCTACAAACGCAGAATTTACACCCAGAGCCTGCTGGACGATAAGCAGTTTGCAAAGTTACACACCAAGGTGATGTTGCCAAGGTTCTGGGAGGATCAGGGGATGAGTTGAGGGATGTGAGATGGGGCCCTCTAGAGTTCATTCTATCCAATCCGCTGGTTTTAGGCAGGCATTCCCTCCCCTACCCCAGACAAGGGGTCCATGGTTTCAAAAAAATGCCCCAAACTGACCTGCCCTAGAACTTTCCACTTCTCTTCCTGTCCAGTTTAACTTCAATCTCTCCCCACTGGGGTAAGAGATTAGGCCAATGAGGTTAGAAGTCATGGCTCCAGTGTTGGAGGGGCAGAGAGTCAGATGGGGTGATGGGCTCTGCATGCTGGGGTTTGGGATACCTGGGGTGGGTTAGAATCCTAGAGCTTGGGGGCCAGCATTGGGGTCATATGCTCTGCTGACAGGCCAGGGCTGATACACTTTGGTATCCTAGGCGAACCTTAAGAAGTTCATGGAGTATGTCCAGCTTCACAGCACAGACAAAGTGGCCCGGCTTCTGGACAAGGGGCTGGACCCCAACTTCCACGACCCTGACACAGGAGGTGAGCAGCCAAGTCAGGGTGAGGGCAGCAGGCTAACACTAACTTTTGCTGGGGCCTTATTGAGGACCAGACCATGGGGCCAGAGCTCATTCTGTCTTGTGATGCACTGTGATTCCCAGAGTGCCCCTTGACCGTGGCTGCCCAGATGGACAGTGCCACCGATTTACTAAAGGTCCTGAGGAATGGTGGGGCCCATCTGGACTTCCGCACTCGGGAAGGGCTGACAGCCTTGCACATCGCCACACGCTGCCGGAACCCCAGTGCCCTGACGGTCAGTGTGGGTAGGGATGTTGGGGCGGGGGCAGGAGGGAGAGAGAGGGAGCCCAAGGCTTTGGTGACCCTGGCCCTGGACTCCCCATAGACCCTGCTGGACCTTGGGGCATCTCCAGACTACAAGGACAGCCGTGGCCTGACCCCCCTATACCATAGCGCCCTGGGGGGTGGGGACCCCCTCTGCTGTGAGCTCTTGCTCCATGACCATGCACAGATTGGGACAGCTGATGAGAATGGATGGCAAGAGATTCATCAGGTGAGGAGCCAGGGGGAGGTAGCACTGGGGAAAGTGGCCAGACCTCCATGGAGGAATCAGGGAGTGCGAGGAGTGGAGGGGAATGAGGATCTTCCTTCAGCCTCTTCTCTGAACCTCTTTCCCCTTAGGCCTGTCGCTTTGGGCATGTCCAACACCTGGAACATTTGCTGTTCTATGGGGCTGACATGAGGGCCCAGAATGCATCAGGAAACACAGCCCTGCATATCTGTGCCCTGTACAATCAGGTGGGACCAGTGTGTGATGTGTGTGTGTGTGTTGTGTGTGAGTCCTGTATGTATATGACACCAGTGTGTAACCTGTGTGTGTGAGACCAGTGTGCAACCTGTGTGTGTGAAACCTGTGTGTGAGACCTGTGTGTATGTGAGACCAGTGTGTGACCTGTGTGTGATCTGTGTGATCTGTGTGTGAGACCTGTGTGTATGTGAGACCAGTGTGTGACCTGTGTGTGAGACCTGTGTGTGACACCTGTATGTGTGAGACCAGTGTGTGTGTAACCTGTATGTATGTGTGTCCCCTACAAAAAAGTAACACTCAACACGCATGTGTTACTGGGGAAAACCAAATGTGCCCCGTGTCTATATGCCCCATACAACACAAAGTGTGAAGAATGAGTGTTCCGTGAGTGTGTGAGTGTCTGTACAACCAGATGTGGCCCAGATGTGTGATAATTGTATGTTGTTCGTACACACGTATATGGACACGGGTAGGGCTGTGTAAAAAGTGTTAGAGTCAGGAAAACTTGTGTCAGGAACTTCCTGTCTGTGGGACCTTGGGCAAGTCTTCCTCCGTTTCTTCACCTGTAGTATGTTATATATTAATATATAATAATACACCTACCTCCCAGGGGCGCTGTGAGGATTGAATGAGCTAATGCATTTCCGTGAATAGTTTTGCATAAACTTTGGCTATTGTGTGTGCCCGTGACCTGTGTGTGTATGTGCATGCATGGGTGTGTGTATTTGTACACCAGTTCTCTGCCTCTTCTTGCTGTGAGCAGTCCTGCTTTTGAATCTGACCTTGGGGTTCTCTTCCCCTCCCCCCTCCAACCAGGAGAGCTGTGCCCGGGTTCTCCTCTTCCGGGGAGCCAATAAGGATGTTCGTAATTACAATAGCCAAACAGCTTTTCAGGTATGGTGCATAGCAGGAGCTGTGGGCACTTGGGGGCTAAAGTAATGGGGAGGTTGTCTCGTGGGCACATTTAGGATGAGGATCAGGGAACTGGGGTGAGTGGGGGGTCAGCTGAGAGAAGCCAGGTGACTCATTTTCCCTTCTCTTGGTCCTGAGGTGGCCATCATTGCTGGGAACTTTGAACTTGCTGAGGTCATCAAAACTCATAAGGATTCTGATGTTGGTGAGTCCTGCCCTCCTCTCCTTCCCCGTAACAGAATTACTGGGAGTTGTAAGTTTACTTGGGGATAGCAAGGGTCACTGGGGGAATCTTCAGTGGGATCAGTGAAGATCAGGTAGAAATGTTGGGATCAGAGGGGTCCTGGCTGGTAATCAGGGTGTTAATAGGAGTCTTTGGAGGTCAGGGAAGTGAGTGGGTCATGAGCAGAGGAAGGGGGTGTCAGTGAGGGAAAATGGAGGCAAGAGAAGGCCATTGAGGGTCCAAAAGGTTGGAGATATCCACTGGTCACAAGCCTCTCCTCTGGCTAGAATTCTTTACTCTTTTCTTGGTCTGGCTTCAGAGTCGGTGATCAGTTGTACCTAGATTGCCCGGTCAGTGGTCCTGGAGGGGAGTGGGGTGGAGATACAGACTTTATTGGGAAGAGGAGGATTGGGCAGGGCAGAGATTACTGCATCAGGGCAGGCTCCATCCCAGCTCTGCCACTTGCCAGCTGTGCTGTGTGACCATGGGCAAGTCGTTTCCCTTTTCTAGGATTCTTGTCTCTAACACGGGGATAAGAAGATTTGTCATTTCCCTCAGGCTGTACAAGCAGAAAGCGGCCTTGCTCTTGGCTGACTGCATGGGATGATTTAAGCCTTTAGATGGGCTTCGGCTGGAGTTTGGGTTTCTCCTGGGTTGCCATTGGGGTGACACTACTGTTGAGTTTGTATTGGGGCTAGCTTAGAGTTCAAGTTCGAAGAAAGACCAGCAGATGTTTATAAATATCTTTGGGGCCTCCTCAGTCAGGGCTATGGTTAGTACTCTGATTCAGGACCCAGGTATTGGCAGTTTTTTCTTGGAGAACATTTCATTTGAGGACAGAATGTTATCCCTTCAAGACCTTCCTGTTTGGGGTGTGCTCCCAAGTTCTGATATTGTTTAGAATGTAACATATATTCTGTTTCTGTGTCTAAGCCCTGGGTGTCTATATTTGGGTCCACAAGTTAAGGGTAGTTAGACTCGCTACAGGACAGGCCCTGGAGGCCTTGGTTTTGGGGTTAGGATTAGGCTTCAGATTCTGTTTCTGTCTGAGGTCAGGTTAGGTTGGAGTTTGAGTTAGGGTTAAGATTGAGTTCCATTTAAGGCCGTGGTCATTGAAAGGTCACTGCAGGGTCAGCAGTGGTGGTAGACATTATTTTTAAAAAATAAACCCACCTATTTTAAAGGACAGCTCTGAGTGGTTCAGAGGTCCCTACCCCATGGGGAGTGGAATTGCATGTGTTGGGGAATGTCTACAGTTGTGGACACTGACTCCTTGCCTCACTTAGAGCCCTGCGTGTGTCCTGTCCTGGTTCTGGGGCAGGAGTCAGTATGGGATTGTGGTAAGGACCCTGACCAGGGAGTCAGGCTTTACTCCAAACTCTAACACTCAACTTGTAACCTGGGCAAGTCAGAGACCACCTGGGCACCTCAGTTTCTCTAAAGCTGTTAAACAAGAGGTGGGGTAGACCTTTTGGGGCTCCTCCCAGTTGTGAAATGTTTTCTGATTCTGTAAGATGGCAGAGTGGAGGCCAGGTCTGAGAAATGCATCAGGACATCCAGATGGTTTCTTTTCTTCAAGTTCTGTGTGTGTGTGTGTGTGTGTATGTGCCCTTGAGATGAAGCTGACATGTGCTGGTGGGCAGGCTTGAGATGGATACCCCCTGAGGATCCTGGGTGATATCTGGGTGGCAGCCAAAGCCTCCCTGAGGACATCAGCCCAGCCTCCTTGTGGGTGGCAGCATGGGGAGCGGGCAGTCTGCTATCTGACTTCCTCCCTCCAAGTCCCTCAGTATTGGAATGAAAGTGTGACCCTGTGAGTCCTCAGGACCCTGGGCTTTGATTTCTCCCCCAGAGGCTGGGTTGGGGTCCAGGAAGTCACCACTGCATCACAGGGTCTGAGCAGCCCTCTCTTGCTCATGTGTGGTCATGGAGTGATTCACATTTTGTTGTGTGTCCCGGACAGTATTCTCTCTGTGGGCTCTGTTCTGGTCCTCCATCACCATTCTCCCATGTGGCCTGCTGACCAGTACTCTTTCTGTCTCTCCATGTGGTCTGCATTCCTTTACAAAACTGGACCTGCACTTTGGCCTTTGCTCTCTTTCCCACTCTTTCCTGTGGCCTGTAGGCTTTTACCCACTCCCCTTGACCGGATTCAGTCATGTGACCCAGTTCCCATTCTCTCCGGTGCCTGAGCTGTGCTTTCCCATGTGACAAGCACCTACTTGGGCCAGACTCACCATGTGGCCTGACAATCCTTATCTCTCATGGCCTGATCAGCCTTCTCAAATGTGGCCCAGTCATGGGTCCCTCACAGGCCTGACCAGTATTTTCTCATGGGTTCTCTGGGCTGGCCTACCCATGGACAGTGTGCTCCAGAAGACCTAGAGGCATAGGGCCTCCCCACCTCGAAAGGTTCTTTCTCTTAGAGTGGAAATTTGGGGAAACAGTAACTTGGAACAAGGGAGGGGATAGCTGCAGAAAGTCTCACAACACCCAGGGCTTTCTCTTCCTGAGTCCTGAGGGAGTCTGTCCCCTACTTCTCCTTGGGACCGTAAGCTCCTCTCAGAGCTCCTGACCCTGGAGGATGCATAGAAGTGCCCACATTCAGAATGCCCTGACACAGTCCAGATACGAGGGCAGGCTGTTAGAAGTGTGGTATTAAGTCCTGGCCCCTGTGTTCCTTTTAGAGGCAGCATCATATAGTGGATAGAATACTGGACTTGGAGGCAGAAAATCCTGGGTTCAAATCCCACTTTAGATACTTACTAGCTGTGTGGGTCAGGGCAAGTCACTTAACTGTGCCTCAGTTTCCACATCTGTAAAATAAGGGGCTTGGATTTGATGGCCTCCAAGGTCCCTTCTAGCTTGAGAGCTGTGATCCTATGATCTTATGGTCCCTTCTGTGTAAATATTTTGACCACACACAGAGATGGAATTTGAGCCCTGTGTCAGAGCCCACAATTCCAGTATTCTACAGGGTTGCTTGTAGGTGTGGCTGGATGCTTGTGGGTAAAGTTGGGATTCTGGTGCTCTTAGGTAATGCTGGGTGTTTAACTACCATCACGGATCATGACATAAATTATGGGCACTGATGGGGAAGGAGACATACTTACATGCATCTGTGGACAATGGTCGGGCTTATTTATGCTGAAGATTAATATCAGAGCTTACTCACAACAGTGGATAATGTCTGAGCTTCTATGCACTAATGAGGAATATTGAACCTTGTATGTGACAGGGCTGCTGTGCTCTGCTGGCCAAAGCTGGGGCTGCTGTGCTCTGCTAGATGACTTCATAGTTGATATATACATTAATGAGAACATAGTGAGACTTGGATGGGTGATAGCAGAGTTTATGTATTTTGATGAATAATTCATGTGTGTTTGTATGTAATATATGCAATGTATATGTACATATGTACACACACATATATGTAATGTTAGAACTATCTGCCTATGGGTAATGTCAGCATTTGTTTGTCCTGATGGATAGTGATGGAGATTCCATGGTCATGTCAGGCTGGTTGGAATCAGTGGGTAGTGTTGGCAGCTGTATATGCTGGTGGCTAATGTCACTGTTTACATGTGCCGATGAATAATTTCAGAATTTGTATGCAGTGAGGGAACTGTCTGAGCACACTGAGGGTAACATCTGGGCTAGTGTGCGTTCACGGTTAATGTTGGCACTTGTGTGCACTGGTGAGTAACGCTGATGGACAGCATCAGAGCGGGGGACTCTCAAGGGGCCATAGACCTCCCCTCACTTCATGCCCCTTCCTCTAGTGCCGTTCCGGGAGACTCCCAGCTATGCAAAGCGGCGACGCCTGGCGGGTCCCAGTGGCCTGGCCTCCCCGAGGCCATTGCAGCGCTCAGCCAGTGATAACGATCTCAAGGCTGAAGCCCGGTCTGGCCCCTCCCCGGGACCCTCGCTCAGAAGCCTCCCCCACCAGTTACTGCTCCAGATGCAAGAAGCAGGCATGGGGCCCATCGCAGGGCTCCGAGGATCCCAAAGTCGATCCCCATCCCTTCAGCGTCTGCAGGAAGATAAGGAGAGGGACAAAGATCCCAGTGGTCACACCCTGGTCAGAGGAGGCCGCAGCAAGAGCAGGTAGGACACGAGTCAGGGGATGAAGGGATTTGGAGCAAGGGAACTGGGGGTGAGGGGTGAGTGGTTTGGCCAAGGTGAAAGAATGGTGGGTGAGAAGGGGAGAAAGGGGGGGTGGTGGATGTGGGGAGAGCTGGTCATAGGGGCGATGGAGGAAGGGATGAGAATGGGCTCCTGGTGGCTCCAGGCGAGCCCCAGACTCCGTGGCTCTATCTGCTGGGTTTTCTGTTAGGGGGCCCATTGATTGGGCAGCCCCGTGGTAGGGTCCTTCCTCTCTGCGGGCACCTCCCTCAGTCCTGCTGGCTCTTTGGGCTCCCATCACTAAGACCACCCCCCACTTCCAGCAAGCGTAGGATGGTGGAAGAAGGTGGGGAAGCCCAGGATGGTCTCAGAAGGGGGCATGTATAGACCTGGGGCAGGGTTGTTTCCGGTGGTGGTAGTGGGGTTCAGCAATTCTGAGAGTGATAGTGTAGTAATCAGAAAGCACTGAATGGGAGGCAGGACACCTGGGTTCCAGTCTTAGATATGTCACTAATTAGCCCTGGTGATCCTGGGGTCACTTCTTTCTGTAAGATGAAGGGTTCTAGCAGATAACTTGGAAGGTCCTTTCTAGGTCTGACATCTGAGAGGTATTAGCTGTGTGACCTTGAGCAAGTCCCTTTACCTCCAAGCCTCAGTTTGGTCATCTGTAAAATGGGAGGGGGTGGATTCAGCAGGGCCCTTCCCGCTCTAAAGCCACTGATCCCGGGGTTCTAGCCTTTCTGCATACTCAGTTGAGTTCTCAGTTGCTGTAGGGGAGTTGGAAAGAGAAAAGCTAAAACCTGCCTGCCCTCAGGGATCTCCCCATCTAGATGAACAAAGGAGTTGGTTAGGTACCTGACCTAGATGCTTTCCTAGGGAGATTCAAGACTGGGGAGACTGAGGGACAGCCCCAAGTCCTGCCTTCTGGGAGCCCTCAGTCTGGGGCAGGCTGAAGCAGAGGAGGCCTAGTCCCTGGCCTTCCCTCATGGAACCCAAAGGCTGGGGAGAAGGAGGGAGGGGTCCTTCCTTCTGGGACCTTCCAGTCTAGAGGACTCTGAAAGTTTAGTCTTGGAAATAAGATCTAATCCAAGCCAGTTTTCCCCGGGGCTGGGTGTGCTGGAGATGGCTGGCTTGGTTCCTCAGGAAAGACTTTGTGGCTAGTTCAGGCTGCGGATGGTCATGCTTTGGCGAGGCCTCCAAGAGAAGGAAGGAAGGTGACAATGAGGGTGAGGTTGGTAGGATGTGTGAGGGGACTGGGGCCAGACTAGAGCAGGACCTGAAGTGCCAGGCTGGCAAGGCAGGGAAGCCATTCACTTTTTTTGAGCAGGAAGTATCATGGTTTTTAAGTTTTAGAAAGATGACTGAGGCAGATAAAGGAGTGACAACGGCTTGAATTAGGCAGGAGGCTGCTGGATGAGAAGGGGCAGAAGTACACTGAGCAAGCAGAGCTGAGAGGACATGTGGGTTGATGGGCTCTCCAGGCAAATGGGAGGCTTTTTGCTCTTAGCTCGAGGAGCAAGAATGGGGGAGCTGCCTTGGAGAGAAACAGAGGGGCTGAGCCAAGAGGAAGGCTGTGTCGGGAAGATGACTTGGGGTGTGAACATGTCACGTTTGAGGTGACAGTGAGATAGTCAGACGGAGATGCGCTGCAGGCAGCTGAAAGTGATTGTCTGGGGCTGAAGAAAAGATGCTGGTGACAGAAAATCACCAACTCTGAAGCCCCAAGGGACCTAAGTCTGCAGAGAGCTGGCTCCTACCCAAGTATCCTGGGTGGGTCACACATGAGGCTGGAGAGGCCCTTCAAGGACCCTCCTTTAACATATAAGATAGAGGTTCAGAAAATGGCAGTGACTGGTCCACGATCATCCAGCAAATATTTGTCAGAGGTGGAGCCCAGGTCTTCTGCCTCCACCTTTATGCCTTCCTTCACATACGTCAAAAGGGCATTAGCTTTTCTTAAGAGCTACCGCTCAAATGGAGCTTGTGGCTCACTCAAAACTACGGGGTCTTTTTCACCTGATCTTTATCGTTATCTGCCATGTGTTTGGCCCATCTAACTCGTCCTTGTGAGGCTGATTTTTTGGAACCTAAGTGGAAGACTTGGGAGTCCTCTATAGGGAGGTGCTGGGGAGTCATCTGCATATGATACCCCAAGCCCCTAGGGTCTTTCAGTGAATGAGGGACCAGAGAGAGCAAAGAAAGGGCTGTCCAGCAGAGCATGGGAAAGGCAGTATTCCGGGCCAGAGGCCACGGGAGGCAGCGTAGGACACAGAGAAAAGGGAGCAGCAGAGGGAAGTGGGGCTCAGTCCTTCTGCCTTGTCCCTTGGCCTAGTGCTCCTGGAGTCTAGGGGTCTCCCGAGGGCTCCTACTGAGGGTCCCCGCCCACCAGATCCTCGTCTGGGAGCCTGAAGCCCAAACAAGGGCCAGCGTTGGCTAGCTGTGTGCTCCTGAGGCCCGAGTGAGCAGGACAGAGCTCAGTCGGGTGCCTCCTCCTTCACAAAGGAAGGTCCAGAGTCCTGCAGCCCCCTCGTTGCTCCTGTAGTCCCCGCTGCCCTCAGGCCCGGGGAAATTCCGCGGTCCCGGTGGTCTGCGGGTCGGTCTCTGCTCTTGCGCCTTAGGCTTACCACCGCCCCCCCCCCCCATTCCTGGGTCCCCTCCCCTTCTCGGGGGCCCTGAATGCTGCGCTCTGGGGGAGGGTCCAGGGGCCAGAGGGTGGCTGCCCCCTGCCGCTGTCCCGCAGAGGGGAGGAGCCCCCCTGGCGCGGCCGCCGCAGCGGGCAAGGAGCAAAATATGGGCACGGAGAGAAGCAAGCTGGGCGCTCCCGGGAGCGCAGCCCCGCGGTAGCGGTCGGTCCGTGCGTCCTGAGCCGGCGCTGACAGGAGAGAATCGGGGGGCGGTGGAGAGGGCGGGGGAGCAGCGAGGGGAGGGGAGGAGAGCAGAGGGGCGGGGCGGCCGGCGGCCGTGCGCTGGTGGCGGCGGCGGCGGCGGCGGCGGCGGCGCGGGCCGGGGGGCGGGCGGGCAGGCAGGCGGGCGCAGCGGCCAGGCGCGGGGCGCCGAGGAGCGGGGAGCGGGGAGCCGAGCCCGGCGCATGGAGCGGCGGCGGCCGCGGGCCCGGCCCCCGGCGGGCGGGCGGCGGCGGCGGCAGCAGGAGGCCCAGGAGGCGGCGGCGGCTGGGGCGGCCCCGGTCGGCAGCCCCGGGCGGCGGACGCAGCGGCTGCGGCTGCGGCTGCGGCTGCGGTGAGGCCGGCGGGGCCGGAGGAGCAGGGGGCCGGGCCCAGGCCGAGGCCGAGGCCGAGGCCGGGGCGCCATGGCCATGACCGAGGCCCCGGGCGCCGGCTTCGCCTGCGAGCTGCCCGCGGGCATCGCCTCCGTCACCTACGTGTTTGTCTACAGCCCGAGCGGCCCCGGCGGCGGCCCCGGAGGAGGAGGAGGAGGAGGAGGCGGCGGCGGTGGCGGCCCGGGAGCTCTGGGCCCCGCTGCGGCCACCAGCCCTGCGCCCGCGCCCGCACCCTCGCCCGCGCCGCCCCGGGGCCCAAAGCGCAAACTTTACAGCGCGGTCCCCGGCCGCAAGTTCATCGTGGTGAATGCGCACAGCCCGCGGGGCGAGGGCGAGATTCCGCTGCACCGCGGCGAAGCTGTCAAGGGTGAGCCAGCCGGGCCGAGGGGGGAGGAGAGAGGGACTGGGTGACTGGCAGGGCCCCCAGGGCTGGTGGGGACGGGCCGGCAGTTGGGGATGCGGACAGACCGGCGGACTGACGGAAGGGCCCACGGACAGCCCCGGCGGGAGGGAAGGATGGGGCTCCGGTCGTGCCTGCATCCAACCAAGGTGAGTGGGGGAGGGGGACTAAGGACCAGAGAGCTGGAAAAGGGGGTGTGTCACTGGGGGAGTGGGAGTGGCCTTAGAGCCCTCTAGAGGCTCCCTGGGCCACTAGGATGGGTATCTGCTACTATAGAAATTTCCTTGGTCACTCTAGAGGGGTCTCAGCTCCATTGGGGTTTCTGGATCACCGTAAGGGGTTTGTAACTATATTTTGTCTTTGTCACTATATTGGGGTCTCTGTCCCTATTTGGGGGTCACCAGGTTGGGGTATCTGGGTTAGTATGGGAGTGTCCCCCTCTAGGGGCAACGTCACTACCGAGGGGGTTTCTTGGGTCACTCTAAGAGGGTGACCTTCTGTTACTAGAGGGTGTGTCTTCGATACTCTGAGGAGCTCTGTATGTCGCTATGGGGGATTCTTCTACCAGGGGCCCTTTTGTTTTCAAGTGATTCTCCTGGCACTGTGCTGAGGTCCATATCAGGTTGAGGAAAAACTCGGGTACTCTGAGTGGTCTGAGAGGAGCCCTTCTATCGTTATGGGGGCTTCTGTCACTATGAGGGATATTCCTATGTTGGAATAGCATGTCACTATCATATCTAGATCTGACACTGTCACTCTGAGGAATCTGTGTAATTATAGGGGGCTTTCACTGTCTTTCAATGTCCTGTGAGGAGGTCCCTGTAGCACTGTTGATCTGGGCTTCTGAACCTGGGGTCTGTGATTGCTAGCTGTATATCAGTATAATTCTTTTTCTCTGTAACCAAACACATTTCATCTTATTCATTTAAAACCATGATTTTGAGAAGGGGTTTACCATAGGCTGCAGCAGCTGCCCAAGGGATCCTGGACACATAAAAGGCTAAAGACCCCTGCTGAAGCGTGCCTCTGTGTCTTTGGGGTCAGAGGGGGTGACTGCTGCTCTGAGGAGTCCCTTCTGTCAGTAGAAGGGTTTTTTTTTTTGTTTTTGGTCGCTATAGGAAGCCCTGTGTTACTTCAGGGTGTCCTTGGGCCACTTTGTTGGGGAATCTTTGTCACTAGGGGGCTCTTTGTAAATATAGCATGTCCTTATGTCAGTGGGTTCCCTAGGTCACTGTAGATTGTGTTCTGTGTCACTTTGGGGGAACCTCTGGTTTTATACGTTTCTATGGGATGTGCCATTCTCCCTACAAGAGGCCATTTGGTCAATTTCAAGAATTCCTGTGTCACTATAGGGGGGAGGGGTTCCTTCTTTCCACTAGAGGGTCTTCCCTATGTCCTTTTTAGAGGGAGTCTTCTTGGCTCACTCTATATGTATATTTATATTATATACATATTATGGGACTCCTCTGTCATTATGGGGTTCCCTGTTACAATAAGGGGTTCCTATATCACTATGGGTTGTCTTATGATAAACTCAGCTCTTTAGCTGTGTCTCAGAGAACTGGTTTGGAACTCTGTCCCGTCCTACCTCCTGGGCATCTAGGCCTTGGGCCTCTGGGTCAGTCAGAAGGTCTAAGCCTCTGGCTCTTTCCAGGTGCTGCTGCATTCCTGGTTCGGTCCCCTGGGGGATGTGAGTGGGGTTGATGAGAAGGATACTTGCGGAAGAAGATGGGGAGAGGGAATAAGAGTGGGATGGAAAAAGAAGGATGGGAATGAGGGACTTGGCAAGGTGCCTTTCAGTCTTGTCCCCCCGTTTCTGTCCCCCTCCCCAACTCTGTCTGGTTCTTATTTTTTCTCCATTTATCTTTCTGTTTCCCTCTCTCTGCTTCTCCATCTCAGTCTCTGCTTTGTCCTGTTTTGTAAATCTCTTTTCCCTTCCTTCTGTGCCCCAGAATTCTCTCTCCCTCCTTCTTTACCTCTTTCTCTGTCTCTCCTTCCTCTCCTCCTGCCCCCCCCACTTGTTCATTCTTGTTTGATTCCCATCTGCTCTTTTCTCTTTTCCCAATGTCTGTCCCAAATTGTCCAAGGGACAGAGCTGGAGGAGGGGGATGGGCGGGGACATTGGGAAGGAAGGGACCCAGAGAAGAGGGGGGGTTTCTGTGTGATGCGTCTGTCTGTCTGTCCTCCCAGTGCTGAGCATCGGGGAGGGCGGTTTCTGGGAGGGAACGGTGAAAGGTCGCACGGGCTGGTTCCCAGCTGACTGCGTGGAGGAGGTCCAGATGCGCCAATATGACACACGGCATGGTGAGTGACCATTACCTGTTCTCCCAGAGGGATCCCTTACCTCCACACGGACCTTCCCCTTTGCTCAGCTTACTCCATGGGAAGCACATGCCCAGATTCTCAGAGACAGATAAGAGCACATGATGAGCACACACACATGCACCTATAACATGTACCCCAATGCACAGATCACATGAACACACATTAGTCCACACATACATGCAGCTCACAATGTACCATATACATAGTGTTCATATGACACACGCACCATACGGACATGCATACAGCACATGGCATGAGCGTTGCACTCACGCGTGCACATACAGGTGCTTGGGGAGAAGCTTCTGCCTAGGCAAGTGACAGGAGAAGGGAGGGAGGGAGAGAGGGAAGGAGGAGGTCACTGTAGGACAAAAGGCGCCTTTCCAAATGGACAGATTGCCCAAGCGAGCAGAGCAGGGAAGCCCACAGAGCATGGCCAGTTGGGGCAGAGGAGAAATTAGGCCAGAGCCTGGGAGGAGCGGCCTGTGGGTGGCCTCCAAGCCCGGGAGAGGCCCTGGCACCTCAAAGAGGGAGGGGCCTGACAGACGAAGGGATGAGGAAGAGATAGTAGCAGGGATGAAGAAGGAATCGTGCCAGGAGCCCAGCCCGAGAAGGGGCCAGGAAGGCCGTCCTCCTTTCCCACTGTCTCTGGAGGCAGCTGGTGCTGGGTTACGTGGCTGTACATAAATGCATAGGATCTTTTCTACCCAAATGGACACAGAGGCAGACTGGTGCGAAAGGAAATGGACTGGACCTGGCCAGCATCAGAAGCCCGAACAGTCAAGCCTGGCTCTGCTTCTTCCTATGTGTGTGACCTTGGGCGAGTCACTGAACCTCTGGGCCTCAGTTTTCTCAACTGTAAAAAGTTGGAGGTAGATTCAGTGACCTGTGAAGATCCTTCTAGCTCTAAATCCTATGATCCCCTGGAAAAAATTGTGGGCTCAGAAGGGTTGGCATCTCCAGCTGTGAAGGACCAGCAGGGGGAAACTGGATTTGTTTGCTGGCATGCGTGCTTGGTCTTTGGCCTCATTGGCCATGGCCCTTGGGCCAGAGGACTGGCCAACTGCCCGTAGGACTCCTGTCTGTTTGAAGGCCTTCTCAGGGTGTCCCTGGGAACTCCAGATTGGTGAGTCAGAGGTGGAGCAGATCTCACTGGGGCCTTAAGTAGCCCTAGTGGGCTGAAGGCTTGGCTGCCTGGGTCTGGTGGGGGCCTAGGTCTTTGGGGTTCTGGGAGGGGGGTATATGAGCATGTATATCAAGGAAAGCAGAGAGCAGGATCTAATCACACCCAGGACAGTTGAGTTACTGTGGGCCTGGGAGCTTTTAAAATTGTGCATAAGGAAGCACTTTTAGAGACAGTGACTACAGTGTCAGGCTGAATGACCATTTCTCTCACGGCCTTTCTTTAACTGTAGCTGGCCTACCTAGCTGAGATGGCTGAGGGCCCCAGGAAGAGACTTGTTCAAGGTGACACGGCAGCCAGCAGAGCTGGGGAGCAGCATTTACCAAGGCCTTACTGGGTCCTGGGCTCTGTGCTAGGTCGGGGAAATGGAAAGACAAAAACAAGCATCCCTGTCCTCACGGAGCTGATCCTTCACTCTTGAGACCATGTGGGCTACTGAGGAGTGGCCGGCAAACTCTGCTATGGGGAAGGGTGTGGTAAAACATGGAGGGAAAAGGATGCCAAGGCACTTCCGGGGTGTTGCACTGCTACAGCCTGAGACTGGTACCACCCAGGAAGGCTGGACACTGTCAGCACAGAGCTTGGAGACCATGGTCTGACCCAGGGCTGGCTATCTGAGGCCTGTGGACATCAGCTGAAAGTGCCCTATAATGTAAAAGTGACTGTAATGGTGAGGCTTTGGTTTGAAAAGGCAGAGGTCTTGGAGGGACAAGATGATAGCCCAGAAAGTCACCAGTGGGATGGTGCCAGGGTCCAGGGGTACAGGTGTGCTACTCAAACCCCAGCAAAACTTGGTTTCCTGGACCTATTGGGGCAGTTCCCAGCCTTTCCCAGGCTCTCCCCGCCTCCCACAGTAAGAGGGGAATGTGTTGGAGGAGGCCCCAAAGGGTCACACCAAGGATAGCGTTGGACAGTGTCTGACGTGAGACCTGGCACCAAGGAGGTGCTTGTGGAGGCTGTGGGGCTGTCTGGCCAAGCAGAAAAGGTCAGGATCAGGTCAGATTGTGTTGGGTCAGCTGAAGGTAGAAAGGAATGAAGAGGTGCCACAGGGCCAAGTCGCATTCACTTTCTAGGGGAGTTACTGTGGTCAAATAGGAAAGAAGCTTTAACCCATTGACTCAGCCCGGGAGGGGCAGGCAGGTAGTCTCAAGGCGGGGGGGGGGTGGCACAGACAGAAGGAGACAAATATCAGAGCTAGGCAGTCTGTGCTGGGTGCCAAGGAAGGCTGTGTAGATGGTGGACAGGCCTGGAACGGGGGCCCTCCGCCTGCTCTGCCCCTGATGCGTTTGTGTTGAATGAATGAAGTTCTCCTAGGCCAGGAAAGCCTTCATGGAGGTCCTATGCCTTGAGCAGAAACTTAGGGGAAGAGGAATAAAGGAAAGGAGACTTGAGGGGACATGCAGGTGTTCTTAGGGGGCCTGCTTAGAGTAGGTCTTGAGTGCTACTGTAAGGCGTTTGCAGCTTATTGGGTGCGGAATATATTCAGCTTGGCATCCGAAGGGCTATTTGGGAAATCCACTTTGGGCTCAACAGCTGCTTCCTCTGCTGATGTCTGTGATTCGGTGAAATGGGGAGCAGCGGGGGGATTGGATCCGACTAACGCATTGGGAGGATAACTTTCCTGGTCTGGATGGGATGGGACAGAGGGACAGATGCTAGCTGGCAATAATCACAGAATGCTAGCCACTGGGAGGGACTGTGGGCCAGAGAGGGGCCTGAGCCTGAAGTCCAGAGGTTCTGAACCTAACACTGGTGCTCTTTCTGCTATGGGCTAATGTGAAAGGCAAGAAATGAGGGCCAGAAGGAGGGCAAGCAGGCCAGGGAGGCAGATAAGAGGACTTGGAGAGCCTCAGCAGGGGTGGAATCCACAGGACTCAGTTCAACTCAAGCAGCATTTATTAATCACCTACTGTATACAAAGTCCTGTGAAGGCCTTGCCCTCCCAAGGAGCTTGGGAGCAGTTGAGACATATATGAATAACTCAGATATAAATTAGAAAATGGCTAAGTACATCAGGAAGGGTCACCCAGCAGATAGGAGGTGGCTGATTCAGAGGGAAGGATGGTTTCTGTGAGAGGGATCGTGTTACAGTGGAGATGGCTGAGCCTAGAGAGAAGAGGATTGCAACAGGCAGATATGAAGGGAGAAGGAGCCATTGTAGACAAGGACTATTGCTTATGCACATGCAAGAAGATGGAAGAAGACGGGATGAATATGGGGTGAGACTAGCGTGGCTGGGGTAGAGCATGTACAAAGTGGGGTCCTGCAAAATAAGGTTGGGCAGTTCAGTTGGAGCCAAATAGTGGAATCAAGCAAGCAACAAGCATTTATTAAGCACCTACTGTGTGTTGAGCTGTGTGCTAGGCCCTAAGGATACAATACAAAGAATGAACAATTTCCTTATATTCCAATGGAGAAAACCTGGACTGTCAAGCTAAGGAATGTCCATGTAATTCCACAGGCAATGGAAAGCCACGAAGGGTTTTGAGCACAGGACTGCCATGGTGAGAGACCTGTGCATTTAGAGAACCAGGGCAGCTTATGAGAGATCGACTGGAGACTGGAGGCAGAGGCCAGTTAGAAGGTTGTTGCAATATGGAGAAGAGGTGAAAAGTACAGGGCCTGGCACCTGGCTGGATTTGGGAAGTGTGGAGGAGGGAAGGAGCGAAGGTCAGCCAAGTGGTGCTTCTGCGTAAGCCACAAACATAAGCACGTCAGCCCTTGCTCTCAGGCAGCTTACTTTCTGTGGGCACGACCAGGCCTGAGGGAGACAGCTGCTGCTGCCAGTGGGGAGGGGCCCCCCCGGGCCCGCAGAGTTAATTGTGCCTGGAAGGAAGCCAGAAGCTGGTGCTGTGGTGAGTAAGGATTCCCTCACAGTAAGAACACATTACCTGAGCGGTTCCTGAGCCTCCTGGACGTTTGCCAGTTACTTCTGGGGCCTGTAATGCCTTAGCACTGGTATGCTTTGGGGAGAGCTGAGATGAGTGAAACCACAGCTCCTGCTCACAGGGAGCTGACAGTCTGCTGGGGAATTGAAAGAGAGCATCGAAACCAAGTCCCTCCTTTCTGAGGAGCCGACAGGCTTAGAGGAGTTAAGACTTACGTAAGGTCACACAGGGAGCAAACAGCAGATCTGAGAGGCACAGCCTCGTCTTCTGAGTCCATCGTCAGGGCTTTCTCCATCCTGGTGATATGGCAGTTCAGACATACGGTGATGCAGAGCTCAGTGTGCGTGTGTGCCCGAACACAAACACACACACACACACACACACACACACACACACACACACACACACTGCCCAGCTTCCCTCCACTTTGTGTCTGTCTCAGTCCCTCAGTTACTCTGCTATTGGAGGCTGGTTTTCTTTCGCTTGGTCCTGGGACCAGGGGAGGCCCAGCTCCCTCAGCTACTTAGTGTCCCAAAGCCTCAAGGAGAGTCCATGCCTCAGGCTCTAGCCTAATTCACCCCTAGCCCCTTCCTGCTAACCTCCCCTAGCTCTGGGCACTCCCATGGCCATAGAACCCTGCTTCCTCCATGCTCCTAACTCTCCCTTTTGGTCAATGGGACTGCGATAAGGGTTCCTGGGAGCAAATTCTGGTGGGGAGGGGAAGGGGGAGGAGAGGAGGGGAAGGAACTCCCTCCAGCCCCTGAAAGTCCCCCTTCCCCCAGAAACACGTGAGGACCGAACCAAGCGCCTTTTCCGACATTATACTGTGGGCTCTTACGACAGTCTCACCTCACACAGGTATGGAGCTGGGATGGGGGAGGGGGCTAGAAGGGATGGGAGGGGGAGGTGACGCTTCGGACAGGGGTAGGTGGAAGAATGGGGGTATCAGGGTTGACATTTGGGGGTTGGGGGCCGAGGTGCTGATTCGCCTCCCCTATACATTTGACTACCTCTCTCCACCTTTCTACTTCCCATGAGACACACATCTGGCTGGACAGACATCTTCCATAGGACAGAGGCACACCAAGGTCTCTCTCCCACATTGTCCACTGGGGGCAGTCACAAGTCGGGGTGGGAGTTAGGGCCTGGGAGGGCCTGGGCTGAGAAAGCTTCCCCCATTCCCTTTCCTTTCTTCCCCTCCCCCAGTGACTATGTCATTGAAGACAAGGTGGCTGTCCTGCAGAAGCGGGAGCAAGAGGGTTTTGGCTTCGTCCTTCGGGGAGCCAAAGGTAACTAAGTGGGATGGGGGAGCCATGGAGACAGTGGGGAGCGGGGCACTAATGGGGAAATAGGGGGCTCTCATGGAAGGTGAATGGTACAGAGGTACAGGATATAGGGCAGTGGCAGGAGGAGAACAGGGCATGTTCAGAGGGGAATAGGGGGCACGTACGCACTGTGGAGGTGGGCACAGATAGTTTTTTTAAGGAGGGAAATAGGGGACATATATAGAAGGTAATGGCCCCAGATGGGGAGGGAGTAGGAGACTAGATGTAGAAGAGGTTTAGGGTGGGGGGTGGGTAGTGCTGGGACACTGTTAATGCTGGTTCTATCCCCGGATCAGTGACTCTGGGCCTTGAGATACTTTCTCACGAGCAGATCCCAAGAATGCTCATGCTCCTTCATGTCCCCAAAGTAACCACTTAGAAGGAACCTTCCTAGCCCAGTTTGGAGCCGGTCCCCAGTCTTGGTCTCTTCCTTTCCTTCAGCAGCTTCTGACACAAGCAGGAAACTGGGATTTTCTAAAGATTTCTATTCCTAGTGAAGAGGGGAGATGCTTGCTTTCTGGGGATGTGGTGGTGGTGGAGGTGGTGTGTGGGGAGGGGATTCTTGTTCACATGGGGTAGGACCAGAGGCCTCCAAGGCCCTTTCCAACTAGGGGCTTCTGGGACGGTGGTACTAGACAGGGTCTGGAACCAATAGGTGTAAGGTCAGCAACAGTCCCAGACTAGGGGCTGTCAGGGCCATACCCCTGGCAATTTGAGGGGCCCTGGCTCTGCCTGGGTCTTCCCTATTCTCTGCCCTTTCTGGGCTGTAGCCCACCTATAAATAGAGCTCTGCCTTAAGCTTTCTTAGCTGTTCTCATGCAGATGTGGAGGGCCTGAGGTGGTGATGAGAGCCTTGGGCCAGGGCTCAGCATCTCCTTCCCAGCATTCCATTTGTTCCTAACAATAAGGGAGGTGGGGTGGGTACTCTGTGTGTGTGTGTGTGTAAGGGGAGAATTTTCTGTCGCTGTGTCTTCAGACAAAGGCTGGGTGCCCACTTGGGCAGGGGAAGTTCCATCAGGTAAGGATCACAGAGCTAGAGCTGCAAGGGGCCCTGGAGATTAAGTCCTACCCCTTCATTTTTACAAAAGAGGAAACTGAGGAACAGTGATGTGTGGATAGAACACTGGGCTGGGAGGCAGGAAGAATCTGAGTTCAATTCTAGCCTCAGATACTGGGCAGGTCGCTTAACCCCGATTTGCCTCAGTTCCCCATCTGTACAATGGGGACACACTGGTGAAGGAAATGGCAAAGCACTCCAGTATCTTTGCCAAGAAAATCCCGTGGACAGAAGTCCATGGTGTTATGTTGAGTAGGACATGACTGAGCAACAAGAATTCCAACCCAGGTCCTCATGACCCAGGTCTAGCGCTCTGTCTACTATGCTGCTCACACAGTGGACCACTGTGTTGGTTCCTTCCAGCTCTGGGCTGCTCCCTTTGAACTCCTTCTACACAGCCGTGGGGCTGGTTCCCCTGGAGAGGACAGCTTCCTTTTCTCCCACCTAGGGCAGGAAAGTGCTTTCTCCCCAAAGATCCCCATGTGGCATGAGGGGTTAGTTGAGGACTTGAAGTAAACCGCAAAGAAGTATGAAAAGGGGGACAGGCGCATTGACTGGAGAAGACGGGCTCAAATCCAGCCTTTGGCGCTCATTACTCATGAGACCCTAGCCTTTCTAGGGCCTGAGTTTTATCATCTGTAAACTGAAGGAGCCTTTGATGGTCCCCGAAGACCCTAGACCTATTGATCACTTAAATTCTTTGGTCTTCAGTTGCGTCCTTGTAAAGTGAAGGAATTGGACCCATGGCCTTGGACGTCCCTTCCAGTCCCAGGTCAGGGATTCTGGGATCTTGTACTTCCTGGGCTGAACTGACTCTCAGGCTGCTCTCCCCTCTGGCAGCTGACCAGGGGGCCACTTGTCCTCTCCCTTCTGTGAGCTCCTGTGATGTCTTCCTTTCCCTTTTCCCTACTCCCTTGTGCTGGAAACTTTGGAGAATGGCTAGCTACAGTGTAGCTGGCTGCAGGGTGACTGGCAACATTGTAACCAGCTGGAGCTTCCTGTGCTTCAGTCCCTGATGGAAGGGATGGTTGGGATGGTCTTCCCCTCCCCCCATTGAGAGGTGTGGGGAAGGGTACAGTCTTGGACTTTTTTTTTTTGGCTAGGCAATGGGGTAAAGTGACTTGCCCAGGGTCACACAGCTAGTAAGTGTTATGTGTCTGAGGCCGGATTTGAACTCAGGTCCTTCTGAATCCAGGGTCGGTGCTCCATCCACTGCGCCACCTAGCTGCCCCTGAAGGGTACAGTCTTGGGCAGGGGCAGAGTGCTGGGGCTGCCTGTCATCTCCTAATCTGACCCCAGCTCAGATCCCTGAGTCCGCATCCCTATGCCCTGACCCCCTGACTCACACTTGCTGGGTTTCCTTTTCCATCTCTACGTACAAAGCCCTGTCTTTCCTCAGCCCTGTTTCCTTTCCTCCAGCCCCATGTTGTTCTCTCCCCTCACCATGTTTCTTTCCTCCTACCTGGTACCTCTCCGGGATCTCTTCCTCAGCAGCATTCCTCCTGCCCTCCTCAATCTTTCTCCCAGAGTCTTTTCTTTCTCTTGTCTTTCTTGCATACTTCCCTTCTCACTGGACCTACAGAATGGCAGTTTCTTAAGGACAGGGCCCTTGTGTCTCTAGTGCCTCTGGGCACACAGTAGGCACTTAATACGTGCTTGTTGATTGATTGAATGGTTGATCCACTGATTCCTTGATCTTCATCTCTTGTCTCTCCCTCTGGCCCACATATCTCTTCTTTGCATCTCTCTACAGCAGAGACCCCCATTGAAGAATTCACACCAACCCCAGCCTTCCCTGCTCTCCAGTACTTAGAATCTGTGGATTATGAGGGTGTGGCCTGGAGGGCAGGACTCCGGACAGGAGACTTCCTTATTGAGGTGAGTCTTTGTGCCCCCCCCAAGGCCCACCCCTCTTTACTTGATTGAGCAACCCAGCATCTGTTTAGTACCTACTGTGTGCAAAGCCCTAGACTGGGGGTTAGGGAGAGCCCAAGATGCCAAGACGTGTCTTTACTCTCGAGGAAGGCATGGCCCATCAGGGGACAGGTCACATGTGCACATCATCGTGGATCCCAGGGCCAAGCCCTGGGACATTCGTTGACTTGAACTGGGAACTGGAGCTGGAATAAGAGGCCTTGGAGGTCCCATCCCGGTTTTGTTGCTTCCTGTCTTTCCCCTTCTGAGTGGCCGTAGTCTCCTCCTCTGCAGATGTCCCTGAAGGTTCCTTCCTGCTTGAAAGCTCGGGATCCGATGAATTAAACTGAGCACAAAATGGGGCAATTGAAGGATAAAGGAGACTCAAAAAAAAAGGGCTCTGGGATCTTGGGGGAAGGAGGAACTGTTTCCTCTATGGCCGTTCCCAACCCCAAACTTTCATTCCCCCTGAGTCTTTCCTCCCTCGCAATCCTTCCACCTCTGCCCTCCCTGGCCTTCACCTCTTCACCTCTTACACCCCTCTTCTGCTATCCCCCTAGGCTTCCCCTAGGGCCTAGTTCTTTTCTCACTCACCTGACCAGCTCTTTCCACCACCATCCTAGCCCTCTCTAAGTTCTGGGTGCATAAGAACAAGCAGTAGACATGGAATCAGAAAGACCTGAGTTCAAATCCTGCTCCAGACACTTCCTAGCTGTGTGACCCTGGGCAAGTCACTTCACTATGTGAAATGGGTATAATAAGAGCATCTATGTCATGGGGTTATTGTGAGGCTCATAGCAGATATTTGTAAAGCATTTTGCTTATGTAAATGCAAGCTATTATTGTTATTAAATCCCTCCTTAACTTGCCCAGCCCTGCTCATGCCCTCCCCATTCCTAGACTAGCTTACCCTAGACTTACAGCTCACCCCATCTCCCTGTCCCCATTCTACCACAGTCTCTTTTAGCCCTCAACCTCTCAACCTACCCCTTCCCCCATCACCTTGGTCCTTCTCCAGTCCTTGTACCCCTGCTGCCCTCAAACTTCCCAGACCATTAGGCACCTCTCCCCCAAGCCCAAGCCCTTCTGCTGTGGCTACTTCTAGCTTTTGCCCAGCCCAGCCCCCTTTTCTATTACAACCCTAGTCAACCCTTCCCATTTCAGCCCTTCCCAGCCCCTCCCTTGGTCACTCTGGCCTTCCCTTCCTCCCAGCTCCAGTAAGTGGGTCATTTGAGACTGTCCTCCTCCCTCCCTCTCCTCAACCCTTCTGAGGCCATCTGTGTGACATGGTGGAGAGATTGAGTGTTGGACTTGGAGTCCGAAAGGCCTGGTTTCAAATTCTGCCTTTGACACTTACTAGCTATGTCACCCTGGGCAAGTCACTTAACCTTTCTAAGCCTCTGTTTCCTCATTTGTCAAAAAAAAAAAAAGAAGAAAGAAAGGAAAGAAAAGAAAGCTTTGACTAGAAGGTCTTTAAGGCCTTTTCCTACTTTATATCTATGATCCTATGATTCCCTTCCTGGCTCTTCCCAGCCCTTTCTTCTCCCAGCCCCCTTACCACCATGACCCTAGTCCTCTTCCCACCACCCTTCTATCCCTGTATCCCCAAGCCAATGACCCTCTCCGCTTTCCCTTATATGGTTACTCTAGTCCTCTTCTTCCCCTAGGTCTCCTCATTCTCAGCCCTTGCCTTTCCTAGCTCCCTCTGCCATCACCTTGCTTCTTTCTCCACCCCCCAAGCCCTCACAACCCAAGCAGATTCCTGGGAGGAGGAAGGAGGTGTTGAGGATCAATTCCAAGCTCCGCCTCCCCTCCCCCAGGGATAGCAGGCCCCGGCTGGGAACTCCCCTGGGGTCAAATACACCCTTGAGGGGCTGCTCTCTGACCTCACAGAGCAGTGCCAGGGTGAGTGCCGATGGCCTCCCCCCAACTGGTCTTTAGCCTCTTGTCAGAGACAGGATCTGGGACACTGAGCAGGCTGGGGAGGCATAACACCAGAGGACTGAGCCCCAGGGTCAGAGAGGTCACCCCTCTCTGTCTTCCTCCCTTCTTTGGGGTGAATCCATCCACAGGTGAATGGAGTCAACGTGGTGAAGGTTGGACATAAGCAGGTTGTGGCCTTGATCCGCCAAGGTGGGAACCGCCTGCTCATGAAGGTCGTGTCAGTGACAAGGAAACCGGAGGAAGAGGGGGCACGGCGGAGAGGTGAGGGGAGCATTGATCGAAAGAGGGGCAATCTGGAGGCCTGAGAGAGAAGTAGGGAAGTCTAGAGGTCTGAGAGTAGAGGAGGGAGGACAGGGGATTGGGGACTGAGCAGAGAGGGGAAGGGGAACCTAGGGATGCTGGGCACAGGAAGGGGTGAAGGAAGCTAGAAAGGAGGGGGAGGGGAGCCTGGGGGACTGAGCAGGGGAGAGAGAGGTTGGGGGGGGAGGGGAGCCTGGGGGGCTAAGAATAGAGGAGGGACACCAGGAGACCGAGGGAGTAGAGAGGCCTGGGAGCCTGGGGGGCTGAAAGAAGATGGGGCTGAGGTGGTCTGGGTGGCTCTCTGGAAAGGTGAGGAGCGTCATGAGAAAGGAAAGCAAGAAGAAAAGGGGGCGGGATGCTGTGTCCCCCCAGTTTCTTTTCCTACATGCCCTCTCCTTGTGTCCCCCCTTCTGGCGTCAGGCTCCCCGCCCTGGGGCGGAGGAATGGGGGGGGTAGGGAGTCTCCGGCAGTGGTGGCAGCTGCCTGGAGGCCTGCGTTGCCGTAGCAACAGTGAGCGTTGAAGCCACCGTATTGTTGGGGGGGGGAAGGGGAGGAGGCGGTACCTGAAGGGAAGAGGAGAGGCATTTGTTTAGCATCGCGCTGCAGCTCAGGGCCTGGAAGGCTTCCGTAAGGGCCCCTTGGCCCGGCTGGGCATTCCCAAGCCCTGAAGAATTCCCCGTTCCTAGGCTCCTTGCCCCACCCTTCCACCGAAGCTCCTGGTGGGCTGGGCCTGTGGCAGGCCGAAGGGAGGATCCCTGGCCTCCTCCAGGGGCAGGTAGAGGCCCTGCAGGATCTGTGAGCTGGGCCCTGCCCTCCACTTCAACCTCTGACCTCATGGTACTGGTGTGCCCTCTTCCCTGAACACCCAGCCTGTTTGGCCCCCTTAGCCACTCTCAGGCCAAGGGAATCAAGCTACCAGTGATCCCGGATGCTCAGGCCCTCCTGAGCCCCCTTGACTCCCCTGAACCCCACCCTAGCCCCTTGGGCCCTTGACCCCTCTGGGCTTCTCTAGGCTTCAGGGCCCCCTCTGGCCCCCCTCAGAGTGCCTGAAATCCAAGGACCCAGGAGCCCCTCTCCCTCCCCTTGGGCCCCAATCCCTCCCAACATCATGAAGAAGTTCGCCTCCAGCCGCAGCCTGAACAAGATCCTGGCTCAGTGTGACTCGTCCTCCCGCGAGTACGAGGAGATTCAGGCTGTGGAGCGGAAGTGGCATCTGCACCTGGCCACCCCTCGGCTCCTGCTGCTGGACAGGAAGTCCAAGTCGTCCCTCTTCCTTCCAGCCCCTCCGCCCCCCAAGAGGGCGCCCAGTACCACGTTGACTCTGCGTTCCAAGTCCATGACTGCTGAGCTGGAGGAGCTGGGTGAGTGGCTGTGGGGGTGGCCTGGGGGGGGGAATGGGGGCCCTGGGACCCCCGAGGGGAGTGGGGTTGGAGATGGAGGTGGGAATGAACAGATAGGCTAGGGGAGGGGGGGAGGAGGACAGACCAGGGGAAGGGGCTGGTTGTTGGGGACAGGGGAGTGTGAAGGATGGATGTCTGCATGTCAAGACAGCCTGGGGATGGGGACAGAGAAGAAATAGGATTGGGATAGGCTTGGGAATGAGGGTGAATGTGGAGACAAAGTCAGACCAAGGTATATGGATCTATGTAGAGAAAGACCCAGGGGATGAGAGTGAATATGAGGATAAGGATGGATCCAGGGATGGGGGTGGCTACTGGGCAGGGACCGACAGGGGAGCTGGGAATGAATGTCAGGGTACAGGGATAGCCTGGGGGGATAGATGTGGGGACTGGGGCAGACCAGGAGGTGGTGGTGAATATGTGTATTGGCATGGCCCGCAAGATGGGAATGGACTGGTGGATTGGGGTGGTTGGGGCAATCACTGAGGAGGCAGAGCACAGGAGTGGAGGCAATGTGAGAGGCCAAACCAGGGGAATGAGCATAGGTGTGGGGAAAGGGCCAGAACTAGGGATGCCAGAGCTAGGAGTGGGAATGGTTAAGAGAACAAGGCTGGGCAGAGAAATTAGGATGGAGGTCAGAGGATAGGGATGGCCAGAACAGATAGAATGGTTGGAGAATGAGGATGGAGGTGGGGTGCAGGAGTGACTGCCTCTGTTTGGAAGAGCTAGATGCTTTGTGAGCTTTCAAAGGCCAGTGTAAGGAGTTCCTAGCACTTGGAGTTGTCCAGCATGGGACTGGCTGCCTTAGGAGGTGGCCAGGTCCCTGTTTCTATGGACTCATCTCCTATGAAGTTGTAGGATCATAGATTTAGAGGTGGAAGGAGCCTTAAAGGGCATCGAGTTCAACCTCCTCTTCCATGGATGAGGAAACTGAGGCCCAGGAGGAGAAACTTGCCCAAAGCCTCAGAGGCACTCAGTCAGAAGCAAGGGTGCTGTGCTTTGGATGGGGGGGTCTGGCCTGGGTTATGTCTGAGGCCCCAGCTGCCAGTTCTGAGGCTTTGGGAGGTCACATGTGGGGACAGACAGGGTGAGGATTCATGTAGGCTCGGTCTACTCCAAGAGAACCATCTGAAAGCCCAAAGGCCAAGGTGGGATGGGGAGGAATGCAATTGGAATGTGGGTGCAGAGCCCAGGCTTAGCCTCAGTGGGAGCCAGGGCTCAGCTGGAGGCTGCCAGCTCCAATATTTGGGAGAACAGGCCGCATGTACGTGTGAGTGGTGTCTATGGGTGCTGAGCGTCCGTGTCCATGTCTCCGTTATCTCTGCCTCTTTATCTCCATCTCTTTGTGTCTCTCTTTGTCTCCCTTTTTACTCTCCTTATTGGAACCCTCCCTTCATCCTGGAGTCTGTGGCTGATTAGAGCATGAGGTGGATGTAACAGAGGTCTGAGGTCCAAGGTCCGAGGTGAAGACAGTGTGATTTAGTCACAAGCGGCCTTGGACTCTCAAGAGAGCTCAGTCTGAGCCCCAGCTCTGCCACTAACTAGCTGTGTGACCTTGGTCAAGTCCTTAAACTTCTCTGGGCCTCTGTGTCTTGATCTGTAAAATGGGCACTAGGAATAGAAGACTTCTGAGGTCCCTAATGTGTAATCCTGTGATGCTATGGTCCCTGTGAAAGACGAAGGAGCTCTATCCATCAGGCTTTGGCCATTCCCTGGCTCTGTCACCCTGGCCGTCTTTCACTGTTGCTGTTAAGTGAGGGGAGAGGTGGCAGCTGGGTCCCCAAGGGACTGTCCTGGTCCAGAGTCTGGGTCATTCTTAGCTCTGCAGGCTGCCCCAGGGGGCTTGGGCCCTGGGGGTTCAGCCACCCTGACCAGACTGATCCATGGGCCGGCGGCTGGTTGATTCACTTTCATTAAGGGCCAAGTCCAGGGCCACTTGACAAATGGGATCATGTTCCACTCAGAAGCCAGCCTTCAGGATTGCTCTGGGACTAGGTGACCTGTGGAATTGCCCCTCATGACTCCAGGGCTGTTTCTGTCTGAAGAGCCTAGCCCAGGGCCCTAGAATGGGATTAGGGATAGAAATGGAACCAGGGTTAGCCTAGTTCAGGTTCTGGGCACCCCAGGAGATGCTACCGGATGGATGGCCTAGCTCACTTCTCTGATGAGCATTAGGTGGCAGAGCTGGAAGTATTTGCGATGACCAGCTAGTCTGATCCCTATCCAAAGTGTGTCTCTTCAGCTGGTTCGAAGGTGTGTAGGCCTGGATCTCCCTACTTCTCAAGGCAGTCCATTCATTCCACTTTGGGACAACTATGATTGTTAGCATGATTTTTATTACCTGAGGCCTGAATTGGTCCCTCTGCCACCTTCTGCTCCTGGTCTTGCCCTCTGTGGCCACACCAAATAAGCCGAATCCCTCTTCACATTCCAGGCACTCAGAAGACATTTCCCCCTGAGTTCTCTCCTTTTCAGGCTGAATACCTTCAGTTCCTTCATCCATTAACTAGCACCCAAGGTTCAGAGTCCCCTCAGCATTGTGTTAGTGAGCCATCCTCTCAAGGCTTTCCAGCATCTCTTCTAAATCCCTTCTGAAAGGTGGCACTCAGAACTGATGCTAATATTCCAGCCATGGTCTGAGGAGGGCAGAGTTAAGAAAGGCAGTCATCTCCCTTGCTTTGGGTGATGTATTTCTGTCAATGAGTGAATGAAAGCATTTATTAAGCACTTCCTGTGTGCCAGACACTGAAGATACGAACAGAAAACCCAGATAGTCCAGTTTTTTTGTACAGGGAGCTCCCATTCTAATGGAGGAAGCAGTAAGCACACAGATGAATTTCAGATTCAGGCCAGATGGAAAGGCCTGGGGAGCCTTAGGGTGCAGTGACATAAGTGTTAATGAGCTGCCTTGACTGCTCTTGACCCCCTCCTGACACTCCTCACCCCAACCCTTTCCCCAGAAACCATCTGTCTAGCAAACTTCCTTCCTTCATCTGGTATTTGGGAAGTTGATTTTTTGAACCCAAGTATAGGACTTTACATTGATCCCTATTGAATTTCATTGTGAGTGATCTTGGGTCAATGATCCTTGCCTTCTGGGTCTCATTTGTAAAATGAGAAGGTTGGACTCCCTCTCCATTTTAGCTTTAGGTCTTGTGAACTTGTTAGCTTTGACCTCAGGTTCCATCCTGTCCAGATTTCCTGGGATCATGACTCTTCCATCTGTGTTATATTAGTGATCCCACACAACTTCAAATAACAGCCCATCTAGGCTGTCATTCAGGTAACTAGTTAAAATGTCAAACAGAACAGGGCCAAGGACACAGGCCTTTGGTCCTGTACTGCAGATTACTGCCCAGATAGACTTTAGTCCATTAATTAGCACATTCTGTCTGATAACTCAATGGAGTCCAAGGTTTGCAAAGTATTTTGGTCATAGTAGCCTGATGAAGCAGGGCACGTGAGAAGTAGTATTCCCACTTTACAATTGAGGAAACTGAGGCATTGAGAAGGAGCATGCCTTGTCCTAGGCTATGCAGCTAATAAGCTTGAAATTGAGTCATGAACTCTAGTCACCAAACTCCAAGTCCATGTCCTTTCTATTCCACTCTGCTGCCTCATCCTCCCAGCCAGTTCTTCTGTCTTTTGGTCAGAATGAGGTATAGAATAGCAGGACCCCTCATCACTTCCCTGCCATTCTGAAAAGTGAAATGATAAGTGGGGGGAGTCAAGAATTTATCAGCTTGAGAAAGAGGGAGAGAAAGGGGAGGAGAAGAGAAGAGAGGTAAAGAGAAGAGAAGGTGAGGAGAGAACTCTGGGAGATGCCTTGGCAATTGGACCCTCTCATCACTGTTGTAGTCTTTGCTGTGTCAGCTTTGTGATCTGCACTGAGAACTTGTCATTCATATCCTCCAGCTGGAGTGGTGGCCTGGAGTTTGCCTTGATCACTCTGTTTGTCTGTCTGTCTCTCTCTCTCTCTCTGTCTCTCTCTCTCTCTGTCTCTCTCTCTCTGTCTCTCTCTCTCTCTCTCTCACACACACACACACACACACACACACACACACACCCCTCCAGTTGTTAGTATAGCCCCACTGAAATGGCCTGGTATTGATTTGGTTCATATGTAGTATTTGTCTCTCCTCCTTCAGCACTCAGTCCCTGGTGCTGAGGAAGCTCTTAACACCTAACAGTCTAATTTCATCCCCTTGAAGGGTAGGGTCTAGTTTTGTTTTGGTCTTTGTACCCCTAGCTCTTAGCACAATGTGCAAAGGCACACAGAAGGTGCTTAATATATATTTATTGGATTGAATTGAGAGCTGTATTTACCTTATTAATTCTACAAGTATTTATTAGGCACCTTCTGTGTGCCAGGCGTGGGGACACTTTGATTAAAAAGGGTCATCCCTGTCCTCAGGGGACTTACATTCCAATAGAGGCCCTAGGACATGGCCATGGGTGTCAGTTAAGGCGGGATGTACTGCAGGGGTGAAGGAGGAATCCAGTCCAAAGTCTCTGGGAATCTGGAAGGAGAGGGAGCTCATATTCAAGTGGAGGGAGCAGAAGTGAACCTTAGGGTACACCTTGAAGGAATAGAAAGGCCCCAACAGTGGAAATAAGAAGGGGAAGAGGAGGCATCTACTTGTGCAAGGTCAGCCCTTCCCTTGGCGCTGGAGAGCTACTGAGTGTGGACCACCTGCCAGCTCTCACTATGTGACTGTCTGCGTTTGCTTGTGCAGTGTGTGTGTGTCGCTGTGTGTGCCTGTGTCCTTGCGTGGGCCCAGGTGTGTCTGAGGGTGCATGTCTCTGTGTATGCTGTGTGCCTGTGTTGCATGGGGCAGTACACAGAGCACTGGACTTGGCGTTAGGAAGCCTGGCTTTGAATGCTGCCTCAGATGCTCGCAGTGCTATCCTGGAGAGGTCATTGTCCCTCTAGCATCCTCTCTGTTCTCCAGCCCCACAGGGCACCTTGAGGAGAGTGCTTGGCAAACATTAGGGCATTCTAGGCATGTGAGGCACCGTTCTTTACTGGGGGAGACGTTTTCAGGAAAGAAAAGGTTTGGGTGGGCCAGGCCCGCAGTCCAGGGAGAAGTCTATTAGGGTTAGCGGGCAGCCAGGAAGAGGGGTTGGTTGGTGGTGCTGGAGGCTGAAGAGAGGTCAAGGACGAGGCCTGATGTGAGACCCCTCGGCCTAGTGCTTGGACTCCTGGGGACTTTATAGATTTAAGCAGATTGAACAGAGTGTTGGGACCAGAAGCCAGATTGCACAGGGCCAAGGAGAGAGTGGGTAGTGAGCAGGTCGAGGCAAAGGGTCTAGAGAATGAGGGATGGCCCGATTGTGGGAAGGCTTGTGACAGAAGAGAGCCAGAAGAGGGGACAAGATCAGGGATAAAGGAAGGACAAAGAAAAGATGGGGGAGATAGATGGAGGGCACGAGGAGAGTGATTGGCCTTGGACAGGAGGACTCACCCCCTTCCCTCTGAGGCAAGAGAAGAGGCAGAACCAAATTCTATTCTGCCTCTGCCTCTTACTACCTGTGTGACCTTGGGCAAGTCCATTAACTTCTCTAAGAATCAGTTTTCTCCATTGTAAAATGGGGATATCCAAGCCCTGAGCCCTAAAGCATTTGGTGGTTTTGGGGTATAGAGAAGGGGGAGATGCTCAGCCCTAAATAAGTGATTTTCTAATGAGGACAAATTGATTAATTTCTGAATTCCAAAGATAACCAACATGGCACCAAGGGCTTTCCCACTGGACTTGAACAAGGAGCCTTTGCTGTGCTCTGTGTTATGTCCTGGCCTTAGAGAAGCCTGGGGCTTGCTCCTGGGCCTGGCTCTTGCCTGCTCCCCCTCTTTTCTCAGTCCTGGGCCTGCTGTGCTGGCTGGTCCAGGGGAAAGTGGTGGAACTTGCCTCCTTCGGACCCCCATCTGCCAGCCAAGCTTTCTTTCTCTGTCCAGCCTTTTCTTCTGGGGGGCAGCCTAGGTCTGGGTTCTCTTGTGATCCCTGGTGAAGAAGTGGAGGAGACCACAGCTCTCAGACACATTCTCCTGCCTCTGAGGCTCTCTGGAACTGTCTTTTTCCTTGGCTTTGTGTGAAGCTACTTTGTGTGGAATTCTAAAGATGATTCATTACCCAGCCCAAGGGCTTCCCTTCTAAACTTGCTTCTTAAGCATTTATATAGTTGTGGAGTGGGGGCTCAGCCCTTTCTTTATAGTGTGTGCACATGGGTGTGTTTGTGTGTGTGAGTGTGTGTGGGTGTGCGTCTCTTCATTGTTTACTCCTGGAGTGGTTTACTCATGCCCCTCCTCACCTAGGGTGCTTCCAGAGCTTCTCAAGCATCCTCTGCCCACAGTCTGGGATGGGCTATTGAAGGATAGAGTGCTAAATGGGGGGATGGGGTGCTGGGGGGGATGGGGTGCTAAGAGAAGGGGGATGGGTGCTATAGGAGGGGCGATGGGGTGCTAAAAGATAGGGGAGGAAATAGGGGATGGGCTACTAGAGGAGGGAGAAATGAGGGCTAAAAGAAGGGGGACAAGAGAAGGCTGGGGGTCTGGGGTGGGGAGTGTAAGAAGAGGGGGATGGGGAATTGGGGAGAACTTTAAGGGTTGGGGTCCCAAGGGACTGAGGGAGGAAGATTGCCTCTCACCCCCTGTACTGTTTCTTGATTCCAAGCCTCAATTCGGAGGAGGAAAGGGGGTGAGTCACCTGCTTGTAAGGAACCCATGGCCCTCCAGGGCTTGCAGCTATCCCTACCCAGATTCCCACTCCCATCTTTTCCCCAACCTTGCATCATCCCCACACTGTTCCCCTTCCCCTGCCCCTGAAGTCCATGTTGCCACCTCCCCCCTCCCAATTCCCTCTATGGAAAACTGTAGTACTTTTCCTTTCTTCTTTTGGAAGCAACTTTATACTGGGGTCTAGACATCCCCCCCACCCCCAAAGTAGTCTTTTCTTCCTGCCCCTCCTGTGCTCCCCTGGGAAGAGGAGATAACTGTCTTCAGTCCTTCTGAGGGTTAATCCAAAGCCCACAGCCCAAAGACAAAGGCTCTTACTGCAACCAGAGAGATTGAAGAGGAAAGGTAGGAAAGACTGTTGAGTGCTATGATCCTCCTGGGAGCAGACCTGATCTGCCTGGTAGAAACAAAGAAGGCAGGCTTTGAAAGCTGAAAGGAAGCTTAGAGGCCATCAGGCCCAGCCCCCTCATTCTAGAGATTAGAAAACTGAGGCCCAGAGAGAAGAAACTTGTCTAAGGTGACACAGCTTATTGCAGAATTGAGACCAGAACTGAATTCTAGACCAGTGGTCTTTGTACTGCACAGTGAGTTAGAGTGAACAGCCCCTGGAAGGATCAGAGATGTGGAGGGGCCATCCAGTCTTTGCTTGAATACTTTTCATGACAGGGGGCTCACTGCCTACAAAATAAAACCCTGAGCTATGATTGGACAGCTTCAGTTTTATTAATGTTGAGCCCAAATCTGCTTTTCATCCTCCTATTCCTGGCTCTTTGTTTTGGGGCCAAGCAGAACATGGCTGATCTCACAAACACATGATGGCTCTTTAAACATTTGGAAACTTCCCTGCTCAGTCTTTTCTTCTCTAGGCTAGATGTCTCTAGTTCCTTCAACCAAGAGAATGGTCTCTAGTGCTTCTACCATTTTGATCACCTCCTCTGGCCATGCTCCAGTTTCCTTTAAAAATGACTCGGCCTCTAGAACTGAGCCTGGTGCTCCTGCCACCTGGTCTGACCAGAACCGGGACACCAGGGTAATGGTTTTTTGTTTTTGTTGATGAGGCTTAAGGTCAAGTCAGTTTTGGGGTTGTTTATTTGCTTGGCTGTCATGTTGCACCAATGACAGTGAGTTTTCCAACTTTGTTGTTTGGTCATATGCGACTCTTTGTGGACCCCATGATCCATACTGTCCAGGGGGCTTTCTTTTTTTGTTCTTTTTTTTTTTCTTTCTTAGCTAGGCAATGGGGTTAAGTGACTTGCCCAGGGTCACACAGCTAGTAAGTGTTATGTATCTGAGACTGGATTTGAACTCTTGAATCCAGGGCCGGTGCTCTATCCACTGCACCACCTAGCTGCCCCCAGGGTTTTTTTTTTTTGGCAAAGATACTGGAGTGGTTTGCCATTTTTCTTCAGCTCATTTTACAGATGAAGAAACTGAGGCAAACCAGGTTAAGTGACTTGCCCAGGGTGACACAGGTAGTAAGTGTCTGAGGCCATAGTTGAACTCAGGTCTTCCTGACTCCAGGACCAGAGCTCTATCCACCGAGCCACTTAGCTGCCTCCATAACCTATGGACTTTTGTCTAGTCACGATTGCACATTTGTGCAATTGGATTTTGGGACCAAAGTCCCATCTTTGCATTTAACTCAGTTACATTTCACCTTGTTGCTTCTGTCTTATCATCCATACTTACAAGGGTCTTTTCATTGGGAATGGGAACTCTTCCATTCTACTTTGCACTGCCATCTTTAAATTGGAGAAGTGTGCCACGGGCACCTTCATGGGAGCCACTGAGAAGTATTTGGAATAGCAGGCAGTCAAGAACATTTCACTCGAACTTGCCTGACGCCTAGTCCTTAGTTACTGCTCTTGGGATGTGGCCATTCCACAGGTTCAGAGCCACCGAATTGTACAACCGTTCAGCCTGCATTTTTTGTCTTGTTCACATAGGTATCATGAGAGGCTCTGTCAGAGGCTTAGCTGAAATGCAGGCCGCCTCTTTTTACACTGCTTCCTGGATTGTGGAACAGTGTCAAAAGAGGGAGTGAGGTTAGTGAGGAATGGCCAGATGGCTTTCAGATGCCCCCACGCTCCCTCTAGGCGATCACTGTTTCCCTTTCTAAGTGCTCATGATCAATCCCTCTAGTGCTGTAGTGCTTCTAATATTTTGCCAGGGATGAGTGTCAAGCTCCATATCAAGCCTCTAGTTGACATTTTCCTTCCCTGTTTGGAGACTGGGTTAAGCCCGGTGGCACGTGTCTCCTTTTCTTTCTCCACCAGAGTTCCCTGACCCTGTGTCCATAATCCTTTCTGCAAAGTCTTTGAGGCCTCTGGCTCTGGGCCTTGAGCCTGGACTGTGCTCAGAGCAGCTGAATCCTGGGTCCCTCCTCCCCCCTAGGAGCAAGCGCCCTTGCATCCAGCCTCCATCCCTGTGCGTGTCTTGCTGTAATTGTGTGCTTCAGTTCCATCGCTCCAACTGCCACAAGGGAGTCTGGTGCCTGCAGCCCCCATGAGCAGTCATCAGGTGGTGGGAGGGGGCATGACCTCAGCTCCTGTGCAGCTTATTTCTCCAGGGTCTTCCATTCATTCACTGTTGTTCATTTGATTCATCTTTATTGAGCACCTGTGTTGTTCAGAGCTCTGTTTGAGGCACTGAGGGAGATGCAAAGACAGATATATGAGCCCTGGGTTCTCTCCAGTAGCACGAGGCTTCATCAGGGAGACAAGGACCATGTAGGAACAGCTCAGTAACAGGCCAGGTTGTAATATAGGCTGAACCAAGGACCAGGACTCTGGGGGTGGGGGGAGGTTGGGCTGTTGGAAGCATGGAGGAGTGAGAGGGATGTCAGTATGGACTACCTGGAGGAGGTAGGACCTACCTGTGTGACAGGCAGAGTGATGGAAGAGAATGCACAGCGCTCAGTGGGCCTCTGCCCCTATCTCTTACGGACCCTCATGTTGCCCATCTTCCTGGAGGCTGCCATCCCCTCCAGCAGCCGGGCATCCTCATGCCTCCCACATCCCACGGATGGGACTCAGGTTTCCCCAGAGAAGACATACAGAGGAAGTCTGGGTTTTCTGAGCACCATCTGTTGACAGCCATGAAAGACACCTAGGAAATCCACACTAGCAGGCAGAAGGCTTGCTGCTGGCCTCCTAGCTTGGCCTGTCTTCTCTTCTTGTGGCTGGCCTTCTCCCTAGAAGAGGGCACAAGGATTGGCATCCTCACTGCTTTCATTGGGCTGGGATTGCAAGGATCAGAATCATAGGCTTAGAGTGGGAAGGGACCTTGGAGGAATCCAAATCCTAAACTGGGAGCTGGGGGGGACTCCAGAGGTCATCAAATCCAACCCCCCTCATCTTACAGATGAGGAAACTAAGGCCCAGAGAGAGGAAGGGACTTTCCTAAGGTCACATAGCTAGTAAGGGGGTCTGAGGCAGAATTCAAACCCAGGTCTCCCTGCCTCCAAGGTTAATGCTGAGGCCACCACACTCACCCTTACCTGAATAGAAATGCTCTGTGTGACCTAGAAGCCTCAGGAACCTAGATCTACAACTCCCCACCTCATTTCACAGATGAGAAAACTGAGGCTGAGGACGGTGAAGAGACGTGCCCAAGTCACACAGGTTGTATTACATGGGCCCTGCTTGAAGAATTTGAGTGATAGGGGTCCCACGGCAACCCCACAGCATTGCTCCTTTCTGATACTTTTTGGTCTGCAGCCAGGCCAGATGAGCAGTTCTACTTACCTGTGAGCTCATCCCTTGTGGTCAGTGAGCTCTGTTGGGGAGCTCCTAAATAATTCCTCAGATGATAAATATTTAAAGCCGGGAGAGATTGTAGAGACCGCCAAATCCAATTCTGTCCCTTTTCAGTTGAAGAGACTGGGGCCCCAACTGACTTGTTCATTGTCACACAGATAGCAAGTGGGATTTGAACCCAGGTCTTCTGACTACACCCAGCATGCTCTCCCCAACATTCATTTTAGCCTTTGTAGGACTGGGGACTGAACGGGCACACCTTGGGTGACATTTCCAAGACAAGTGCAGCTCCACCAATAGGAACATTTTCACATGATCTAGCTTTAAGAGGTGGGAATGAGTAGATCAGCTGTAGGGATCAGGGTGGATCCAGTTTGGCCCAAGTGGAGGGTGTGAGTTAGGGAGCTGGGTGGGGGGGGGATAGGGGCCTTGGGCAAACTGGGGCCGGAATGTGAAGAGGCTTGAATGCCTAACAGAAATTTGAACTTTGTCCTCTAGACAGCAGGTAGCCTTGGGTGGTTCCTGAGGACTGAAGAAGGGGTTGGGGGCATGGTCAGAGCCCGTGGCGCAGAGGCTAGTAGTCATTTTGTCTTTCTATCCCCAGCATCAATACCAGTGCCTCGCACATAAGAGGGACTTAAATGCTTGTTGAATGAATGAATGAATGCTAGCAGGGCCTATCAATAGAAATAGAGAAATTAGAAGAGGCTAGTTTGCTGAGAAAGAGAAATTAGTTTTGAGCATGTTGAGTTTGAGATAATAGTGGGACCTCAAGGCGTAGGTGTCCAACAGGTAGCTGGAAATGGAGGCAAAGTAGGAGCTGGGACCTTCTCCTTCCCCTTGTGAAGATGCATGGCAGGATGTGCAGGCTTGAGCGTCGGCCACCTGGAGGTGATGGTGGAAGGCGGGAGACGGGTTCCAGATGGTGGCTTTCTGCCGCAGCCCACTCACTGGTTTCATTAATTTAATAACTTCCACTATTTAGTTTGTGTTATTAAAAAGAAATCTTTTTTTGACTTAAAAATGTGACTTCAAATAGTATTGACCTCTACTGCCAATGATTCTTTGAGGCCAGATTTTAAAGGCAATGGGGGCCCGAGGTACAAGTTGGTACCTTCCTCACCACTGCTGAACTGTTATAACGCGTTCTTGTGTAGCAGCCCTGGTTAGGACGCTCCTTTGTAACTCAGCCTGCTTACCTTAGCTCAGCACCACCCCCTGCAGCCTGCTTCCCTCAGCTGCCTGCGCCTCTCACTGCTCTGAGGAGAGAGTCCTTTCTGTGACTGCTTCCTGCTCATCACAGGGATGGCCTTAGGTTGCCTTTCCAACCTCCCTGCCCTCAGAGCTCCTCTTCCTTTCTCCACATGAGGCAGAAGAGAAAAGAGAAAGCCACGCCTTCCTGGGGCGCCTTGCAGCCGAGAGCACCAAAGCCCCCACGCCAGCTTACCCCCAGTCTGCCCGAGGTAATTTTCCTCTCTCATTTCCCCCCGCCGGGCTGCTATCTGCTGGGAAGCTGCTGGCTTGTTGCCTAACAAAGCTGCTTCCTCCTTTGGTCATGCCTCCTTTGGGCTGCAGGGTCTTTAGCTAGCTGCAAGGACTCTCCCAGGGCCTGAACCCCTACTACATGATGGAGCTTTCTGAACAAAACTTGTAACAAAGTGGTTTCATTACTACCAGCCTTGGACCTTGTCCCTGGTGGGGACCTTGACCAGGGAGCTTTCCCCTGAGAGGAGAGTCCCTTCCGGGATCCCACCTGGGGGTCCTGCTACATGGACCCTTCTGCCCCTGGTGGGGTGGGAGGGAGGAAAGCTGGGCCACTCTTTGCCCCAGAGGGCCCAGGACTGCATGGGGATGGGGATCTTGCAGTAGGACCAATGGAATACACATGTTCCTACAGGAGAGTGCCTGACACAGAGCACGCCCTTAATAAAATGCTTGTTGGTTGACTGGTTGATGGAATGAGGGTTCAAGATGGGAGCACCACTAAGGTCATGAAAGTTTAGAGAAATTCCCAGGAGGAGGGATCCCTAAAGGGCCCTTTCAGGAGGATTTGGGAGAAGCTCTGATCTGTGGGAACAGCTTTCCCCAAGCCACTGCTCAGGGTCTCCAGCAGAACTGGGAGGGCCCGGCTGCCAGAGCTGGTCAGTCACCTTTCTACCTGGCATGGGGTATTTCTGGTGTGGACTGGCCTAAGGGCCTGGGCTCCTGGAAAGACTGAGGGTGGGGTGGGGAAGGATGCTGATTTGGGGAGTTGGACATATAGACAAGGGTTGGTGGGGGGGGGAGAGGGGAATGCAGGAAGTGATGCCAAGGCCAAGGAGAAGCCTCCTGGTGGGGTGGCATTCATGCATCCAGGGAAAGGCTTGAAAGTTCTCCCCCCTTTACCTGCATTGCCCCAGGATGCTTTGAGACTTCTCTCTAACAAGAGCAATTTAAAGCAAAATAAATGGTTTGTGGGAAAGTTGAATGATGACCAGGCAGACATTCCTGGCTGGCTCCCTTGTGTGCTGCACCCTGGGAAACTGTCCACCTTGCCTACCCCTCATTCTAGTTCTGGTATCTACTTAGCATTGTTGCTCCCCCTTGCTGGGAAAAGGGTGAGTCAGGGATCATCAGGCAGAAGCCATGGGCCACTCAGACTCTGCTTCCTTTGGCTTATACAGAGAAGCTGGATGAGATCCTGGCGGCAGCTGCAGAGCCCACGCTGAGACCAGACATCGCAGATGCCGACTCCAGGGCGGCCACTGTCAAGCAGAGGCCCACAAGTCGACGCATCACTCCCGCAGAGATCAGTGTGAGTGGAGCTATGGAGGCTGGTGAGAGTGGGAATGGGGTGGGGTGGGGACCCACTGAGAGAGGGAGCATGGGTGATACTGGCAGTAGAGCCACAGGGGTCATTGCCAGGATGGTAGGACACAGGAAGAGTGGGCCAGGGGACTGGAGCCCATGGGAGTGGGGTAGTGGGGTTCAGTGTGAATATAGCCATGAGGGTCACTGAGAAGAGCCACAGGGACCACAAAGCAAAGGGGATGTGAGCCTCTGGGAATGAGATCACAGGGGTCCTTATCAGTTGTACTGTGGGATTCGCTGAAAGTAGGGCCCCAGGGGCTAGTCAGAGCAAGATCATGGGGTCAGTATGAGTGGTGGGATCCACTGGCACACAGTCCCTAAGGATCTGTGTGAGTGGCTCAGTGGGAGGGGCGTCACAGGAGCCAGTGATGAGGGTCAGGTAGGTGGGCCCACTGGGAGTGGGATTATGGAGGTTACTGGGAACAGTCCCACAAAGGCCAGTGAGAGAAGAGTCACAGGCGTCACAGGAGCCAGTGATGAGGGTCAGGTAGGTGGGCCCACTGGGAGTGGGATTATGGAGGTTACTGGGAACAGTACCACAAAGGCCAGTGAGAGAAGAGTCACAGGCGTCAATGGGAACCAGTGAGAGTTGGGCTCATGTTCATGGGGTTCAAAGGAAGGGGAATTAGAGATGTCATGGCAGGTCAATGCGGGTGTGATCATGGCACTTACTGACTAGGGTCATAGGAAATTGGTGTGGATGTGGGCAAGGACACAATGGGGTCATTGAGGTAGGCACAGGAATTGTGGCTGGGGGTAGTATGGGATGTCAGTTGATTGGTGAGGGGGTCAGTGAGGGGTGACTTGAGGGTGTTTGAGAGGATCAGGGGATCAGTGTGGGGGTATGGGGGCCAGCAGCCTCTGGTGCTTGGCTCCCGCCATCTATGTTTTCTTTCTTCTTCCCAGTCTTTGTTTGAACGCCAGGGCCTCCCTGGCTCTGAGAAGCTTCCTGGATCCCTTCGAAAGGGCATCCCGCGCACCAAATCTGTAGGTATGGCCATGGTGGATTCTAGGGGAGGGGATGGAGAGGGGGTATTTCATAGATATGGAGGAATGAGGTTGATGGTGTGATCATGAGAATTATGTGGGCCTGGGGATAAGGGGAACCAGTTGTTGGAAAGGTTAGGGGACCTCTAGGAACTGGAGGACCCTTAGGACATGGGGTAAAGATGGAAGGGATGTGCAGAGCAGGGACATGAAGCACTCCCAGGAGTGGGGAATAGGGCCATGGAAAGCCAAGGGGCCCTGCTTCTGATGCTACCTCCCCCTGAATCTTGGGGGGTGGGAGCTGTCCATTGTCAGTTCTTCCTTCCCCAGCATTCCTCCTGTATTCTGCCCCCCACCAGCCCTGTCACTAAGGACCTTTGCCGGTCTGTATGTAGCTGGTGAAGGCCTTGGAAGCCATCTCGTCCAGCCCCCCTCCCAGTGGAGGAATTTGTTTGATAGTATCCCTATCAGGAAGTTGTGCAGCCTCACACGACATTTCCAGTGATGAGGACTCACTATCCTAGCTGGATTTGTGTGGCCTTCAGGGGGACCATCAAGGCTGAACAGCCCTCATGGTCAGGCTGTCCCTTCCCTCGAAGTCTGCCTCTGCATCACATTTAGTTCTGTCTTTTGGCGTCAAGTCAGGAGCTCTGATGCCTCTTTCCCATGAAAGCCTATAACCTGCTTGAAGCAGCTGTCATGATGCTCACGGTCTTCTCTGCTCCAGGCTACATGTCCCCAGCCCAAAGGACTCCAGGCTTTGTCATCCTGACCGCCTTCTGCTGAATGTGCCCATTTGTTAATGTCCTTCCTAAAAATGGTGCTCAGATGTGGCCCGAGCAGGCGAAGGCATCAGCTCCCCAGTCAGGAATACATTCTTCTGTCTGTCTGTCTCTCCCTCCCTCTGCTCTCCTCTCTTCCATTCTTTGTCTCTCTCTTTCTGTCTATCTATCTCAGTCTCTCTGTCTTTCTGTCTGTTTCTTCCTCTCTCTTCTCTCCTCTCTTCCTCTTTCTGTCTCTCTCTGTCTACCCCTTCTTCCTTCTTCTCTCCTTCCTCTGTCTCTGTCTTTCTGTCTCTGCCTTTCTCTGTTTCTGTTTTTCTATCTGTCTTGGTTTCACTGTCTCTATCTTTCTGTCTCAGTCTGTATCTCCTTCCCTTTTCTCTCCTCTCTCCCTCTCTCTGTCTCTGTCTTTCTGTCTGCCTCAGTCTCTCTATTTATCTCTCCTTCCCCCTACTCTTCTCTCTCTCTCTCTCTGTCTCTCTCTGTCTCTCTCTTTGTCTCTCTGTCTCTCTGTCTCTCTGTCTTTTTCTCCCCCTCCCCAGCCTTTGTCTCGATGGAGTCTAAGATGATGGTAGCTTTTTTTTGGTCCGTGTGTCTGGGCCCATGTTTGGCCCATTGAGCTTGTCCACCAAAACTGAGATTTGTTGCAAACAAGCTCCGCCATCTTGTATTTGTGCCCTTGATTTGTTTTTAACCAGCGACTTAGCCTTTATCCGTATTACAATCGTCTTAATAGATTTAACCCATCATTCTAATCTGTCAAGATCTGGGGAGATCCTGTTATCTGTCACCTAGTATATGAGCTATTCCTCCTAGCAAAGTTGCTGAGCCTGTCATCTATGCTTCCATCCAAGGGTTAGATAACAATGCTGAACCTGAGAGAGCAGAAGCCTCAGGGCTTCTCCCAGAGACCTATCTCCCAGTTGACATCAACCCACTGATTTAGAGACTGCTCGGTGCATTGGGTCATTCAGTCAGTTTGGAATCCATCCACCTCCCTCTTGTCCAGGAAGGAAGCGTGTGAGCCTTTGCCCAGTGCATGGCTGAAATCTCAGGATGCTGTGCTCAGACGAGGCTAGCTGGACATGACCTGTTCTTGAACTCACATTGGCCCTTGTGGTTACTGCTTCTCTTTCGAAGTGCTCAGCACCTGCCCTCTTACTGATATTTAATCACCTTCTTGGAAATCAGAGGTACCTTTGCCCTTCTCCAGTCCTGTGGTAGCTCTCCTCATTGCCACAACTTTCAGAGATTACAGTGACTTAGCAAGCCTGTGTGCTGGGCCATTCATCCCTCTGGTGTGTTATTCATCTGGTCAAGGTGATGACCTCATTAAGGGAAGCCTGATGCCTTTTTACTGGCCCCTAAGTGACCTTGTGTTTCACTTTCCTGTTCTGTACTTCCAAGACTGAAGATTGTTCTCCTTGGTAGAGAGAACAGACCGAAATAAAATCGAATAGTTCAGCCTTCTGTCCAGCAATTGTTATCATTGTCCCATCCACTTTGATTGAGCAGCAGTGCTGTCCCTTCTTGTGCCCAATGTAGCAAAAAAGGAAGTCCTTTTTGTCTTCCTTAGCATCCATTGCCAGCCAGCCCCAGGTCATCCTGGCAGAGGGCTTTCAGGACTGTGCCAGTCTTGGTATTCAGCTGCTGCCACCCAATCTTGTGTCCATCTTTCCCCTTATCCTTCAGGTATCCTGGATCAGCTCTTCTGACTTTCTGTATGTGTTGCACCTATTCCAAGGCATATCTGGCCCTTGCTTTTCTTTGATTCAATTCAATGCAAGCCCACAGATGTTTGTTAGACACCCACTGAATGCAGAGCCCTGTGCTGGTGCTGGGGCGGGGGGGGGGTGCGGCAGATTACAGAAATTTGATCAAACATAGTCCCTGTCTCCAGGGATCTTGCAACCTGATAGGATGACGTGACCCGTCCACAAACCTCTTTGACATGTCAGTGGATCTGGGGGAGAGTGTTCACCCTCCAGTTTTGTGCTCCCCAAGTTCATCCATACCTTCTCGTTCTGTATGACACTTGCCCACATTCTCCCATTCATTCCCTGTCAAGGGGCTCCTTAATGTTAACTGGGGACTTCTTCCTCTTCACATGATGCACATGCCAGGGTCGGATGCTTAGCCATCTACCATTTCCCTCAGTCCCTTAATGTGACTGGCTCCCCCTTCTCCTCCACTCAGCCATCTCCTAGAAGCCTCTCTCATGCTACTCTGCGCACCTGGCATCATCCCACCCTCCATCTCTTCACTGCTTTTCAGGTCATGGATTCTTCAGTGAGTGTGGTACATCCCGATGCATTACTACTCAGTGTCATAGGAAGGACGCCGGGGATGAAGATGTGTTTTTCTTTCAGAAAGGTTAGGGTTGCTGAGATGCAACTTCCTAAAGGCAGTCCAGCCTCCTCTCTTCCTCCCATTCAATTCAGGGTCCCCCTCATCTAGCTATATCACCTGCCCAAGATAACCCTAACCTATGAGATAATGTTGAACTCAAGATAACTCTGACCATCAGAAAAGTAATTTGTAGCTGGTTGTGCTTTACTTACATGTCAGCCAGGAGGTGCTATGGCTTCTTTATTCCCATTTGGTAGATATGGAATAGCTGGTCCCTTCAACTGCAAGTTATAGTCTGAACCAGAGCCATTCTTCACCCACTTGGTTTCCTGTGTGAATGGTCAGGTCACATTCTCTCTCTCTCTTTTTTTTTTTTGCTTTTTGGTGAGGCAAATGGGGTTAAGTGACTTGCCCAGGGTCACACAGCTAGTAAGTGTCAAATGTCCAAGGCTGGATTCGAACTCAGGTTGTTCTGACTCCAAGGCCAGAGCTCTATCCACTGTGCCATCTAGCTGCCCCATCAGGTCACATTTTTTTGAGTGCTTGTGAGTTTCAGGTAGGAGGTCCCGGTGCATTTCTCCCCTTTATGCCAATGGCACATTGCCATCCACCAATAAGGTATCTGGAGAACTCCACCATTTGTAGGAAAGCCCTCTTCCATCTGGACTTGCCTGTGATGGCCTCTATTATCATGGCAAACAGCTCTGGCAGGCAGATAGCTGGCACCTTGGTTCATGCTGGACTTTGATATTAAGACACAGAAAATTGCTGAAGAAACCTCTCTCTGTTGTTGCATCTTTCAAAGAATGTTTTATGAGCTTAACACATGCAGGGGAAGATGGTTTTTAAAGCTCATCGTATTCTTCCAGCCAAGTCGCAGGCTTCTTGGTAATCAACGGACAGCATCTTTTACACTTTCATTTTTGTGACCTGGGAAAGTTATAGCAGTTTTTTGTGCCTCAGTTTCCCCATATGTAAAATGAAGAGGTTGGACTACATGGATTCTGAGGTCCTATGTCTGTGATCCTGTGACTTCCATGGATCTCAGTTTCCTCATCTGAAAAATGAGAATAATATTTCTTTGGTACTAACTCCCTTGTGGGACTGGTGTGAGGGAGGTACTTTGTAAATCTTTTTTTTTTAAGGCAATTGGGGTTAAGTGACTTGCCCAGGGTCACACAGCTAGTAAGTGTCAAGTGTTTGGTCTGGGGCCGAATTTGAACTCAGGTCCTCCTGACTTCAGTGTTCTATCCACTGCGCCACCTAGCTGCCCCAGTACTTTGTAAATCTTAAAGTGATCTTTGTTCCTCCCCTCCTGGGAAATCTGAGGCAGCAATGGTTGTTCCTGCCTGGTGGGCCCCTCAAGGCTTCCCGCCTAACAGACAACTGTATTCCAGCATCCTGATCTCCTCTGCTTACTTAACTCTTGCCTGGGTCTTGGCCTTGCTCCCTCTGTTTCTTTCCTCCCCCCATGTCTTCTGAGGCAGATCCCCTCCTCCTTCCCCCTTCTCTGTGGCCCCAGCCATTCCTCTGGGCTTGGCCCTGATACCTCCTCTGCCATGTTCTCTCAGGGCTGCGTGATGCTTCTCCATGTTTGCCACAGCTTGATATATGCTTCCCTGAGAAATCTGTGTCTTCCTGGCTCAGATCATCTGCCTCTCCGGCTCAGCTGCACTGGTTACCTTAGCAATGTGTCTCTTCTGGCCCCCACCTGAACTCCAGTGCTTTCTAGGCCTCCTACCTGGAGGCCTAGGCTCCCCTTTGAGCCATTTTTCTTGTGGTCCTGAGCCCTGTGACTTCTGGGTAGAGAAGGCAGAAAGGCACCTCTTGCTCATCCAAAGAATCTCGGGCAGAAGGGGCTTCCAAAGTCCCCGAGGCCCCCCTGGCCTTAAGCAGGGATCCTTTGGACAGTATCCTGGCAAATGCTCACTGAGCCTCCATTGGATGGCCTCCAATGAGGGCGTGCCCAGCCCCTCCTACTCAGGCTCAGCTTTAATCGTTAGGAAGTGGGAGAATTTCCATTTTTCTTTTGCTTTTACATGGATCTTACTGTTCTGCTTCTCCATTTATCCGGTTGAAATCTCGTCTTGTTTGACTTGGCCCTACGTTCTTGCCTGCAGAGATATTTTTGGATCCTGACTATGTAACCCGATGTGTTAAGCTCTTTTCAGCTTTGTGTCATCTGCCTATTTAATAAGCTTGCCACCTATGCCTTCATTCCAGTCATTGATAAAAATGTTAAATAAAATGGGGCTGAAAGTAGAGCCGTAGGGCACGTTGTCAGAGACCTGTCTAGGTTGACCCTGAAGCATGACTTGAGGAGTGCGAGTTCCTGCTAGCTATACGTTGAATTGTCCCAAGGGGGTCCTTGACCATATGCTCTGAGGACAGCTGTCACAGCTGTCCTCTGAGCAGTGGGGCCTGGTGCAGAGAGTAGGTAAGCTACTTGGCTATAGCGGTCCGTCCTTCTTCCCTGCCATAGCTTTCCTTCTCCCAGTCACATCCCCCAGGTGCCTCCAAGTCTCCACTGCTCCCCCCACGCCCCAACCCCCTCTCCCTCCCCAGGCCTCACCCCAGGTCCCCGGGCCTGACTGCCGGTCCCTCCGTAGGGGAAGATGAGAAGCTGGCCTCTCTCCTGGAGGGGAAGTTCCCGAGGAGTTCGTCTATGCAGGATGCTGTCCGTGAGGGCCATGGGATCCCGCCCCCACCCCAGACCGCCCCACCCCCCCCACCTTCCCCTTACTACTTCGACACAGGACCACCTCCCTCCTTTTCACCGCCACCCCCGCCAGGCCGTGCCTACGACACCGTCAGATCCAGCTTCAAGCCGGGGCTGGAGGCCCGGCTGGGAGGGGCGGGACCCCCTGGGCTCTATGCCCCTGGCCTCGGCGCTCATGGGCCTCTCCCTTACCCTGAGCGCCAGAAGCGGGCTCGGTCCATGATCATCTTGCAGGACTCACCCCACGAACCAGCTGTGCCCGACAGCACCCGGCCTCCTCCTGCAGCCACGCCCCCTGAGCGACTGAGGCGGAAGGCGCGAGTGCCCGGCAGTCAAGACAGCCCTTACGCCAACCTGGGCGCCTTCAGTGCCAGTCTCTTTGCCCCATCGAAGCCACAGCGCAGGAAGAGCCCCCTGGTGAAGCAGCTGCAGGTGGAGGAAGCGCAGGACCGGGCCGCTTTGGCTGTGGGGGGCAGCGGCAGCAGTTTCCCCCGGGAGCCCTCGCCCACTCGCCGGGGGCACCGGCTCGGGGGGCTCGACTACCCCCCCGGGGAACCACCTGGCCTCCCATTTGCTGGCGCCGGACCTGGCAAGGAACGAGACCGTCGGCTGGATGAGAGGCGCCGCTCCACCGTCTTCCTTTCCGTGGGGGCCATCGAGGGCAGCCCGCCCAGCGCAGAGATGCCATCCCTGCAGCCTTCCCGATCCATCGACGAGCGCCTCCTGGGCAGCGGCCGGGACCTGCTCTTACCCTCGCCCGTCTCCGCTCTCAAGCCATTGGTCAGCAGTCCTAGCCCCTCCCCTGTGGGCTCCACCTTCATCCACCCACTCACCGGCAAGCCCCTGGACCCCAGCTCACCCTTAGCCCTCGCCTTGGCCGCCCGGGAGCGGGCCCTGGCCTCCCAGGTGCCCTCAAGATCCCCAACCCCCGTTCACAGCCCAGACACGGATAGGCCAGCCCCTCTCTTTGTGGACATCCAGAGCAGAGAGCCAGAGCGCAGCAGCCTGGCTTCCCCCACCCCAGCCTTTTCCCCCCGGGGCCCCGCGTGGGGCCCCCTCCCTGCCCGCCGAGAGGTTGAGAAGTCCCCACGGGAGGAGAGGAAGACACCAGATGACAAGAAGTCCATGATCCTCAGCGTTCTGGACACATCGCTGCAGCGTCCCGCGGGTCTCATCGTGGTCCACGCCACGGGCAATGGGCAGGGCCCTGGGGAGCTGGAGGCAGAGGAGAGTACACCGGGAGCCCCTGAGCTGAGCCAGGCCCTCCTCCGGCCGCTGCCACCGTGGCCGCACCTGGGGCCCTGCCCAGCCCCCGGACCCAGCCCCCTAGCAGCCCCCCTGCCGCCGACACGGTGCTGGGGCAGGGCAGCTCCGAGGAAGAGCCAGACCTGGTGTTTGCTGTGGCCCTGCCCCCAGCCCAGCTGTCATCCAGTGACGAGGAGACGAGGGAAGAGCTGGCCAGGATCGGGCTGGTGCCGCCCCCAGACGAGTTTGCCAACGGCCTCCTGGTGACCACGCCCCCCCCGGGCCCCGGGCCGGCCCCTTCCCTCATGGCCTCGCCCAGCCCAGCCTCAGGGAAGCCCAGCAGTGAAGCGCCCCCTGCCCCGGAGTCAGCCGCGGATTCTGGTGTGGAGGAGGTGGACACGCGCAGCTCCAGCGACCCTCACCTGGAGACCACAAGCACCATCTCCACCGTGTCCAGCATGTCCACGTTGAGCTCCGAGAGCGGTGAGCCCACGGACACGCACACCTCCTTCGCTGACGGACACACTTTTGTACTCGAGAAGCCGCCTGTGCCTCCGAAACCGAAACTCAAGTCCCCGCTCGGGAAGGGGCCCGTGACCTTCAGGGACCCTCTGCTCAAGCAGTCTTCGGACAGCGAGCTCATTGCCGCCGCCTCCGCCGGGCTGGCCTCCGGAGCTGGGCCTGCCCGCCCTCGCTACCTCTTCCAGAGAAGGTCTAAGCTGTGGGGGGACCCGGTGGAGAGCCGGGGGCTCCCAGGCCCCGAAGACGACAAACCGACTGTGATCACCGAGCTGAGCTCCCGCCTGCAACAGCTCAACAAAGACACCCGTTCCCTAGGGGAGGAGCCTGTGGGAGGCCTGGGGGGCCTGCTTGACCCCCTCAAGAAATCACCTGCTGTGGCTGCACGGTGAGTGGGGTGGGTGTGGGGGATGGCGGTAGGGGTGGGGCGGGCCGGAGAGGGGGAGGTGGGCATGTCCAGGGCATGTGGATGCTATCTACCTACCCTCTGTCCTCCCTCTCAACCATGCCTCTATGTCCATCCTTCTGTCCTCCTTCGGTCCATCCTCTGGCCATCTAGTACAAATGAGAAAGGGCTTTCCTGGCCTCAGCCTGATGAGGAGAAATCACCAGTCCAGCCCTGAGCCTTGGAGCTCCAGGTAGACACAGTGGATAGGGTCCTTGGTTCCCTTTTGACCACTCTCAAGTGAGCAGCTCCATGTTCTGTAGAGGTCCCAAGATGTCTCCTTGGGCTTCCCCCAGCCCCCTGATGGCCCTCTCACATGGGGTCACTGCCTCTCTGGTTCCCTGTGGCTGGCTGGTCTTTGTTGCCAGCCTTAACACCGAGCACTTAGGCAACCCTGGGGGGGTCCCAGCCCCGGGATCCTGCTGGGACATGTTAGCTTACTTTACACCCACTCCCCATGTCTTGTATGTTTCTCCAGTTTTGCCTATGTTGGCAAGCCTGCCTAGTGAAGTAGCCATCATCGATCCTCTTCCTCCACAGACTTTGGTAATGCAGTTTCTGAGTGCTTGTGCTCCTCTGGGGATGATGTTGTTGCCATCAGAACTGTGGGAGCCCTTAAGAAGGGCTCAGCAGATGGCTCATGGGGAATTAGACTGGGCTGGCTTGGCCCCAAAGGGCAGAGTCAGGAGCACTGGCTGGGAGTCTGCGGGGGGCAGTGGAAAGTCTGGGCTTGGAGTCAGGGAAGACCTGGGCACAACCACACTTAGTGGCTGTGTGACCTGGAGCAAGCTACTTTCACGCTCTGAGCCTCAGTTCCGTTACCTGGAACGTGGGCATACTGATGCTCTACCTAGCTCACTGGGTTGCTGTGAACAAAATGCTTTGCTAACCTGAAAACCTGATAGAAATGGGACCTGGGGTCACCCGTGGGCTGCAGGGAGGCAGCTTTCCGCTCATGGTAAGGGCTGGTCTAAAAGGGAGTGGGCTGTCTTGGTAGGAGTGAGCTCCCTGTCATGGAGCTCCTCTAGCAGTGACTGGAGGGTCACTTGTCAGGGCTACTACAGAGGGGCTTCAGGCATGGGGCTTGGGTGGAGAAGGGGGTTGGAGTAGATGACCTCACAGGTGCCTTCAAATTCTCCAATTGTTTGATTCTGTAAAAGGTCTGGAAGAAGCCTGGGGTAGGGTGGGGTGTCACCTGAAATAGAAACAGACATTGTCAGTACCTGTAACTTGGGTCTTTGGTCCCTAAGATAGGTCTGCCCTCACTCTGACCTTGGGGGCCTGTCCTCATGTCCTTCACACAGCCCAATTGCAGAGTCCTTCAGCCTTTACCTTCCTTTGTCCCATCCTATTATGTCCCTAACCTCCCCCCCCCCCGAGAGTGGGAGTGGGAGGGGTCCTGTCCCTGGAGACTCCAACTCTATTCTTGTGTGGAAGAAAAACTGTACTCTTAGGTTTTAGGCACACATCTGCCAAAGATAAATTTATTAATCAAATTATTCTAAGCATCTTTGCTTAGAGAGAGAAAATCCAAAGGGACAGAAATTCATTTATGCCTTTGAAAAGCTTTCCACCCAAGCTATGCTTGAGTTCCAATTCATAGTGTTCGAGAACAAAGATACATTCCATTATTAAGATCAAACAGTGGGGCAAAGTCTAGGCAACAGTTTTGATTCATCAAACGGCAGCTGTCCCCCACTGTTGGCTGCATCTCGCGGAATCATTTCCCTAAAAGCACCGAATCCCTCTTTGACCACTCCTTCCCAGGAGTCTTACTTCAGCTGGTCAAAGGGGAAACCAAACTTCCATTAATCAAATTCATCAAATATGTACGTTCTTCTCTCTTGGCTGGTTGTGACCCTAATTAATTTCAGGGGATTCCTTCCTAGGTTGGTCAGGTCTCTTCCTTGAGAAGCTGCTTATGCCTTGGATAGGAATGATGCAAAAGGTTCCGATGCAAGACTTTAATTGGGGATTGATGGTTAAAGAGAGACTGATAAGGACTTCAGACTAAATAGTCATAATAGCCTTTCATGATAGGTAGCCTGAAGAGGGAATGGCGTAGGGGGAATTAGTCTCCAGCCCTCCCTGAGGACTTTGCTGCTTCCTTTGACTCAGGAGATGGGGGTCCAAGGCTTCAGAGCATCTCATTGTGTCTTCCTTTATTGGGTGAATGTTCAGGACCTTGAGCCCAGAGAAACCAAGGCTTCATGCAGCCTCTGGCCCTGGCAACCCTGGAGGGTTAGCACCCAAATGGAGTCCTGGCGCAGCTGGTGATGCCGGTGCTTCTTCTGGGCACACAACTTTGAGCTGCTCTTGATGTGAGATGAGGCTCCCTGCACTTCTAGTCTCTGCACAGCCCTTTGGACTGGTGGGTCATCCTTCCTGACTGTGATCCCTGGGGCTGCCCACACTGCCCCTCTCTGGAGCCCACTTCCTTTCATAGCCACGGCGCAAGACTTGTTTACTCACAGTGACCTTGGAATCAGCTTCTGAGTCTGGAGTCAGGATCAGAGGTGGAAATGGATAGGCCATCTGGTACCACTCAGACATTTTATAGGGGTCTATAAACTGAGGCACAAGCAATCCTACAACAAATTTGCCTATACTGTAGACAAGACTGTCATCTCCCCACCTCCTAGAACTCTCTCCGTCCAGCTCTGATCTCTCATCTCTTCATGAGCTGGACTCTGTTGCTTTCACACAGTCACTCTACCAACACTAACTCTGTCCTCTGCTCAGCCAGAATCTACTGTGCACTTTGTCACAAATCCCTAGGGGTTGACTCCCAAACACATTTATTTTAACGAATTCATTACTAGAGTCACTACATTTTTTATAAGGTGAAGGATTGTAGACCAGCTTTCCCCTTGCTTCACTTCTCAGCCCTAACAGCTGGACCCCTTCATGCTCAGAAATAAGCTGCTAGCTCAATGTGCATTACAGATGTACCTGTCTGGGGGGAAGAAATCCCAAGTGCTTAGGATTAACCAAGCTCACCCACAGTGAGAAACCGAGTCAAACCTGCTTGCATCCTGGTCACTATTTCCCTGAATGAGCCACTGCCTCATCCACTCAAAACCTGCAGTTTTCCCAGCTTCTAGTCCTGGAATTCCTACCCAGGTGTAGGTCGGCTTGTCTGAAGATTATTCCTTTGGCGGAGCTCAGTCCCAAACCCCTCCAAGGCAGGTGCAAAATGCAGGGCCTTACCTGCCGGACTACCACCCTCTCTTGAGCCTGTCCACATCCAGTCCTGTCCCAGCTTCCCCTGTTCCGGGGGCCTGCCCCTTAAGATTCTCTCTCTCTCTCTCTCTCTCTCTCTCTCTCTCTTTTTGGTGAGGGCAGTTGGGGTTAAGTGACTTGCCCAGAGTCACACAGCTAATGAGTGTTAAGTATCTGAGGCCGGATCTGAACTCAGGTCCTCCTGACTCCAGGGCCAGTGCACTATCCACTGTGCCACCTGGCTGCCCCTTTTCCTTTCCTTTCCTTTCCTTTCCTTTTTCCTTTCCTTTCCTTTCCTTTCCTTTCCTTTCCTTTCCTTTCCTTTCCTTTCCTTCCTTTCCTTTCCTTTCCTTTCCTTCCTTTCCTTTCCTTTCCTTTCCTTTCCTTTCCTTTCCTTTCCTTTCCTTTCCTTTCCTTTCCTTTTCCTTTCCTTTCCTTTCCTTTCCTTTCCTTTCCTTTCCTTTCCTTTTCCTTTCCTTTCCTTTTCCTTTCCTTTCCTTTCTTTTCTTTTTTTAAAGATTCTCTTCTTAAACACACATGACACATCCCATGGGCTCTTGGCTAACCTGTAGAACAGAGATGACCTGAGTCAGAGAAGGAGTTGGCTGTCTGAGTTCTGCCCTGCAGAGATCTCCAGTGGCTCTCAAGTGTTCAGAGGAGAGGGCTAGATGGTATCCCCAAACTCCCTCATTACATTTTGACAAGATGTAATATTTTAAACACAACCACCCTCCATGTGTTTCGTTTCTAGCAGCAGTAAGAGGCCTGTCCCTCTCTCCCTTGTGTATCTCTCTCCGCTGCTTTGTTCCTTGTCTGTCCGCCCCCAGTATCCATCCAGCCATCCTTTTGTCTCCCTGTCTGTCCTCTCTTCCATCCCTAGCTAGCTTTCTGTTATCTCCATTCATTCCACTTGGCCAGTCCATCCTTCTTGGGCTGCTGCCCACCTCAGTCTGGAGTCTCTATTCCTCTGAGCCAGATGGGATAAAGGATGCCATACTGTGGCCCTTAGAAAGGAGGCCATTATAGATCTGTGCTGGTGACTTGGGCATGAGAGGCTAAGGAAAGATAGGGCTGGGCTGGGGACCAGGGACCATGGGAGAGGGAGCAGGTGGCTATGTATGGGAATTCAGAGATGGCTCGAGCCTGTAATCTTCCATCAACATGCTAGGCAAGATGTGGGTTGTACCTTTGAGCTCAATTCCCCTGGAACCTAAAGTTGGGGGATCCTCTAACTGGTCCTGGGGGAACTTTTTCTTGGATTAGGCTATCAACCATAATCCCTGCCAACAGGCCAGCTGGAGGCATCTTCTCCTATGCCTTACACTGCTGAAACCTCTCCTGCTACCAGAGAGCCCCCCCCATCCCACCCCCACCATAGGCCACTCCTGCTCCCTTCCCAGCTATGTCCTCCCTGGGCTCCTTCTCATCTGGCTTGAGTTTTCAGACTACAAGCAATGTGAGAGCTGAGGCCCTGGGACCCCATAGGCCCAGGGGTCATATTAGTGGAGGGGAAAGGTTTGAGCCCCATAGTTGAGAAGGGTGAGGGGAAGAGCCTGGGAAGACGTTCATCAGGTGCCAGGCTGCCACCTGGCCTCACCTCCCAGAGGCTTGTTTTGACCTCTATCCTGCTCTGTCAGACCCCTGTCCCCCAGAATGGAGCCCATGCAGCCATAGCTCATTCCCCTTTACTAAAGCCTGGATATCTGGCCTATGGACGTTCA